AATTCTATTTTTTTTTTAAGAATAAGTGACAGATGGACTGTAAAAAAAAAAGTTTAATTTAAAAAATAAAACTTAAAAAAAAACACGAAAAAAGTTATTTTTAAAAAATTACGCATGTCACTATTATCTAATATGTTAGTCCACCTATCATTTATTGCTGAAAAATTAAGTGAAATTTTATCAGAAGAGTTACAGTAAAAAAAATCTATAGTAAAAGAATGAAATATACGATTAATTCTAATCCTAAGACTGTATATATGATCTATTTGCTTCAACAAAACACACGTTAATTGCTGGTATGCTAAATGTTAACCACATTTCTGTGTTAGCACAATTTTGGTGTGATATGTGGTGTCGAGGAAATCTCCATGCAGACTAACTATTTATCTTTCAAAGCTTTCAAGATTGGTTGATCTTAGGATTCCATGTTTATGTATGTTTCTCCTATGTATTGCTTCATGACGGGAAAAAAGAAAAATTAAAAGAACTGACATAGGAGTAATTAAAATCATAATCCAACTTGTTTATATATGGAGTAATATGTTACCATATATATTATCGATTTACTTCTTGTGAAAACATTTCTGATTGATCTATCAAGCTTAAGCACGTGCAAGTCCAGGTGCATGCATGACAGAGGTCAAACTTGGGAAACTTCTATGTAAAACCAAAAGCAAAAAGACTTCAAAATCTGTCTCCTTAGACTTCCACAAACAAGTTTTTTTATTCATCTTCGGCTCCACCCAGGAGACTTCACCTTGTAATAATAAATGACCTTGCTATTCGTAATATCATCTCAAATTTTAATTCAAAGAAGCATTAAAAAAGAATGTAATTTTTTACGAATATTTTTTCATCAATTTAGATACACACTATATTGGATGAAAGGAAATTACTATAGCTCTATATCTAACAAAACTTTCAAGACGAGTTGATGGGATTCCATATTCTTGTTTTTCCTATATATGGCATCTTGACAGCGAAGAGGAAAGAAAAATGAACCGATGACCTGAAATCATAATGAAAATTCCCTTGCATTATTTCACAGAAATGGCACCAATGATATCTATTGGTAGTATAGTTGCATGTTTCGCTCCATCCGGATGTTTTGGAGATTGCGTCATGGCTCATACGTCATGACTTTATGTCATAACAAATTAGTTCAATTCCCAAGTTCTTTCAAGCTGCGAAAAGTCCATTCAAAGAGCACGGTTTTGATTTCCATGGTTCGTGTCTCTCACGATGTTGATACTTGATATTACCCACGATGAAAATATTACTATTACTTTACTATGTATTTAAGAGACGTGGAGGGTACGAACCGTGAATTTTATTGTTCATCCATCACAAATCATTATTTATAATTCTTTTATAATTTTTAAATTATTTTATTTTTTTCTTTAGAATTTTAAAATAAAAATTTTAACCCTTTGCTTGATGCGTTATATATATATCATCAATTTATTTTTTTTTAATTAGATCTTAAAATTTTAAAAAATCAATCGTTATTTTTTTCACATAAACTAATGATTATATAATATATACGATATATTTTTAGATTTTAGAATAAATATATATTGTTTTTATTGTTTAAAATTGATCTTTTTAATTTATTATAAAAATTCACATCAAGTTAATCTTTTATTCTTATTTTTATATTAAAAATTAAATATACATCTTCCAAAATAATTATTTTTTTCATATAAACCGACGATTATATAATATATACGATATGTTTTAGATTTTAGAATAAATATATATTATTCTTATTGTTTAAAATTGATCTTTTTAATTTATTATAAAAATTCACATCAAGTTAATTTTTATTCTTATTTTTATATTAAAAATTAACTATACATTTTTCAATATAATACAAATTATTTACTATGAATATTTTTTTAACATTATATAACCAATTTATTTGAAATAAAATAATTAAAATAATTTTTTAAAGGAGCCAACCAATTATTCAAATATAACTTTTTTATGCAAATTTTATTGATTATTTTTTAAATAAATATCAAACGTTATTTTTTTCATATAAACTCGACGATTATATAATATATATTGTATGTTTTAGATTTTAGAATAAATATACGCTATTTTTATTGTTTAAAATTGATCTTTTCAATTTATTATAAAAATTCACATCAAGTTACTTTTATTCTTATTTTTATATTAAAAATTAACTATACATCTTCCAACATAATTATTTCTTTCATATAAACCAATGATTATATAATATATATGATATATTTTTAGATTTTAGAATAAATATATACTATTCTTATCGTTTAAAATTGATCTTTTCAATTTATTATAAAAATTCACATCAATTTAATTTTTATTCTTATATTTATATTAAAAATTAACTATACATCTTCAACATAATACAAATTATTTACTATAAATATTTTTTTAATATTATAGAATCAATTTATTTGAAATAAAATAATTAAAATAATTTTTTAAAGGAACCAACCAATTATTCAAATATAGTTCTTTATGCTAATTTTATTGATTATTTGATAAATAAATATATATAGATCAAATGTATATGCTTGAAAAAAAAATCTTCTCACCAACATTAAATAAGAATAAAATTTTATTTTTTCATTGGTTAATTTTTTTGCAAGTCTATACATTAATTGTAACTTTATTTTTTGGATACATTCTTATAAAAAAATAATTTTAAAGTATTTATTTTTGACTTCTTAATTAATATTTCTAGTTTAAATTATTATAAGTTTTTATTTAATAATCCCCGACTAAAGAATAATAAATCATGTTTTTTAAGTAAAAATTTTATGGAAAACACACAAAAAAATAGTTATAATGGAATAAAAAATTACTAAAAAAATAATGAGATTTTGAAATAATTTTATTCTATCTACCTATATCGTTGTGCATATTATTTCAAAAATTAATCTTCTCATGAGCATTAAATAAGATTTTTTTTATTTGTTAATTTTTGTAAAAGTTTATCCATTAATTATAACTTTATTTTTTGAAATACAATATTATGAAAATTATATTTTTAAAGTTTTTTAATTTTTTATTGATATTTTATTTAAAATTATTATAATTTTTTATTTTAAAATCAATCCATAAAGAAGAATGATTTATTTATTTTTAAAGCAAAAAATTTATAATAAAACATTAGAAAAAATTAATTAAATAAAAAATTATAATTAAAAAAATTTAAAAATTTAAAATGATTTGATTCTACTGGACCCGCGACGTAATGCGGGCAATTGGCCTAGTGTAAACTAAAGTAGATTGTTGTTGTCTTAAGAATAACTTAATTTTAATTATTAATTTTTTTTATTAAAAAGCTGAAAATCTTGATATATGTTTGTTTTATTGTCTTAATTCCGAGTTATATTCTTTCAACCACGAGTCTTACATTTATGCGAACGGGATAAAATAGAGGATAATAATGGCAGCAAGTAACCTCAAAGAAAATAAATAAATAATAAGTGAACCAAATAAAATATTAAATAAGTATTGCGTACGTACACTACACAATAATAATTGATAAAAATATTTAATGTTACAACTTACAAATCCGCAACCTTTCTATGGAAACTTTATATGTATATAAATTAAATAAATTGTTGATCCGATTCAAAATTAAATTGAAATCCTATATATATATATATATATGATACTTCGCAAGGAAATAAAAAGTTGAGATTAAAGAGTTGTTACATGCATAGTGAAAAATGTAAAAAAAAAGCTAAGATTAAGGTAAAAGAAGACAGTAAAAAAAAAAAAACACTTTATGGATAGTTTTAAGGTTCTACCATGACCTTAAAAAAAAAAAAAAAAAAAATATATATATATATATATATATATATATATTTTTTTTTTTCAAAACTTTGTGTTTTTCATCCATCCTCTTGAAAATAACGTGGTTCCATTAATTGGCGGTTGTGACTTCAGTCCTCACGTTGATCCTCTCAAAAATATGTTCTTTTTCCTCGGACGCCATGATTTAGACTTGGAAAGCAAAACTAGCAAAAAACACTTCTTCTTGCACGTTGTAAAGAGAAGGAAAAAGAAAAATCTTCCTCTCGTGCTTTTCGAACGTGTAAGTTCTTAATTCTTACCTATATAGAATTCTCCAAGTCTTACAAGTGTTCCCTTCCATAATGCAGCTCAAATTTCTTTTCTTTTTCTTTTTATATTATAAGTATTAAAATATTTTTGAACAATTTTCACATCAATCAAATTAAATTTATTATTTACGGAACTAAATCAACATTGCATTACGTAAATTTCTATTTAATCATCTTAAGTTAGTTTTGTCTCGTATTTATAATTATAATAACAGTAATGTCCCACTTTGTCCTATTGGCATGTATATTTAATTTTCTATCATACAATTGACATGTATATTATTATCCCTATTATTCTTATTATAATAATATCATATACTTTTATTAAAATCCCGGTGGGTGTATGACATTCAAAATTTTTAATGACTTCTTTATTGACTCAGCCTATATCTTATCGAAAAAGGTAAATCGTATGATTTCAACCAAAATAAATTATTTCCTTCCTTTAGAAAAAAGATCGACAATTATTCAATGGCTCAAGTGATAGAAAATTTCCGTACTTAAAAAAAAAAAAAAAAAAACTTTACACTAGTTCTACGGAGCCTAAGAACACATAAAATCTATAAATAGCTTGAAAACAAACCAACAAAGAACCGAAACGGGAAACAAAGGGCTCTGTTTCTTAGAAATACACCCAACTATTCGAATTTGTGTATAACAAGTATTCTGGTATTTGTCAATAAATACACTTAATAAACATACTTGTTGAAGGGTTTCACACCAAAGGATTAAAGGGAGTTTTCTTTTAACCCAAAAGAGAAAAATTTTCACTTTTTTTGTTAGTTTTTGAGGGACAGAGATTTTGGCATTTTGAAGAGAAAATTTTAAGCTTTTTGGGTGTCTGTTTGACGAAGTTGAAGTTTGTATAGAGAGAGAGAGATGGGAGCGTGTTTTTCTGATGTACGAGGAGGGAAACAAGCAGTAGGAGGGACATCCCAACAAAATCCCAACAGTAACAACAATGCTGCCCTCAATGATGCTGTTGATTTCTTCTTCAGGTCCCATGGCCAACAGGCTCTTTTTACTCAAGTTGAGGTATACATTATGTGTTTTTGTGTACTAAATTGAAAACCCATGTGGATTTGTGTTTATGCGTATGTATTATTATATTTTATGTGATGTGCTGAGAATGTCAGGCTGAATGATTTTTTAGTCTTTGTTTGACTTTTATTTTTGTTTGAGTTTGTTTACGGGGTGGGTCTTCTTTAAATAAAAGAAAAGTTTAAAGTTTGAGTCTCTGTCTTTGCTAATTTGATAATTAGAAGAAATTCATTTTTAATTATTTGGTTAGGGTTTGGTTCTGTTTGGATTCTTGTTTTTTATTATTATTTTTTATTGGACTTGTTCTTTTTGTCAATGTGATTTTTTTTAAAAAATGTGTATTGAGTAGTGAATATTAATGGAATTTCTTTTTACTGTTCGGAGAAAGAAAAGGGTGTATGAATTTTTATGGTTTTGGTTTAAAGAAACCCTAAGTGCTCTGTATTAAAGCAGAGGATGGTTGGAAAACGAAGGAAGAGAGCTTAAATTTTCATTAAATTGTGATCAAGATATCCTGGATTCATTTAATCAAAATTGCAATTGTCTCTTTAATTTAGTGGCATTAACTTGGTAACAGGCGCATAACTCTTTTCGTCTGGTTTATCAATTCTCTGTGTAGTTTGATTTGCATTCTTGTGGAAAAAAAGTGGTTTTGTTTTATGCTGGATGTAACTTGGAAATTTTTGATAAACGAAGCCATGTGGGCCTTGTCAGGGATGTTGAATGTGTGGGATGGCGTCCATGAACAGTGTTAGTGCGAGAATTGACAACAGGTTGAAGAAGCTAGATGAAATATGAGCAGAAATTTATTTGTTATTTGCGTTCTTAGTAGATATGATAATGCATGTCTTTTTTAATATTGTATAGCTTTGTGTCACGTTTTGTCCCTAGAAGCTCTGACTTTACTCATCCCCTAGATGTTGCTTCCCCAAACAACACACTTTGTAAATATGACTAGGCTCATGTGAATTGAAAATATGGCTAAGCTTACGGGAATGAGACAAAAATTGACTTTTAAATCTGTCTCTGTAAAATATGAACGTTGATAATTCATTATTAATTTAAAAATGCTCTTTATCTTTTTTGTTCATGCCAAAGGCCCACAGATGCTTTTGGTTTTATTTGATGTTGACGTTTCCTTGGTTCCTTCCCATGGTCAGCCGTTAGGGCCTTTATTATCAGTTTCCTTTTCCCCGCTCAATTTAGCTTTACGTAAGTAATAGGTTGGCCTTCAATCTGGATCTCCAAACACCCATTGATGCTGTACCTTCTGTTAAATGGATAAGGTTATATTTGCATGCTGCTACATTGTTAACATTTAAATAGATTTAGTTCAACAATAGACAAAATGCATTTAAAGCAAAGTGTTAATATGCAGAAAAAGTGAGTTTTTGGTTGCCTTTATGACCAATATGATTAAGTATGAGAATTGCTTATATTCTCAGAAACAATGGATTCTATCTTCTTCTTTTTTTAAGGCATGAATGCTGTGCACCCAATCAGCCAAGATGCAGGAAATTTTTGCCTAGCTGTTGTTTCTCGATGTGCCAGGATATTTATCTTTCAATATATGTATATATCTTTTATATTGCTTTATACTGTTTATGAACTTATTATTTTTTTTTTACCTTATGATGTATTCATACTATTCAAATATGCTCTGCAGTTGTCTTTATCAGCTTCAAACTTGCTTGATCGTGACATCACATCCAAGGTAATAATATGGTGAACTTAATGTGCATATTTCTCGTCCTTTTGATGTTGTGGTAACCTGCCAAAATTACTGGGCAGAGTGTTGAATGCCTCTTGTATTGTTGTTGTCCGGGATCAATCTAGAGAAAAAAACAAAGGGATCTGGAGACTCCATTTTCGGTTTATTTGTTGAGAAATATAAAATATGCATTTCTGTTATAAAGTTGGCAGTGCTTGTATTCTGTGGTTTTGACTAAAAAGGATTTTTATGTTGTAGAGTGACCCAATGGTAGTTCTATATGCAAAGAAAAGGGATGGGAAGCTAGAGGAAGTTGGTCGGACAGAAGTCATTTTGAACAACTTAAATCCTATTTGGATTGAAAAGATTACAACTGCTTATCAATTTGAGATGGTTCAGCCACTTGTGTAAGTTCTGCTCAGTCTCTCTAAATGCAGGTTTTGAGGATATATATATATCTCATAACATTTTCAGTATTGTGTTAAATGTTATTTTGCATGGAGTTTTCAACTCATTCTGTCTGTGCCCTCTTTTAGGTTTCATATCTATGATGTGGATACCAGCTATCACAATAAACCAGTGAAGGTATGTCAGTTTTTTCTTCCAATTTTTGTCTATAATTTTGATTCCATTTCTCATAATTAAATGCATTCCAAGGGCAAACAGTTCTGGCATATCAACTGATTGAGCTCTGAAGATTCTGTCAATCTGTTTCACAAACTACTATAAAGGAAAGACTTGCTGAAAGCAGTTTCGAAACATGAAATTCATTTGATTGATCATATTAATTACATAAAGCAGACCTAACTTCTGCCAGTTTCATAACAAATGGAAACCATCTTCAGTTAAAAAAGAAGGAATATGAAATATCATGCTCTAGACATCAAGCACAAACATTTTGGATTATAACACCAACAAAATTTTGGTTAGAGAAGAGAGAGATAAAAAGAATTAAAATGGAAGTAGCAGAATAAATTATTCTCTCGCAAAATAGTGATACAAATTCTTCTGAAGGTCAAGTTTATATTTTAAAATCTATTTTCTATTGCCTTGCAGTCACTGAAGTTGAAGGATCAACAATTTTTGGGAGAAGCCAACTGTGTTTTGTCTGAGGTAAGTTCCTCCTAATGTGATATTGCTTGTGGAGTTTATGCAAAGTATTATTAGAATGCATGCATTGTGTGTATTGAATCAGCAACTCTTAACAAATTTTTAGCAATTCATGCATTTTTAATGATTTTAATTCAGCAAACACAGTAATAATCACATAACTATGAAAGATGTAACAAAAATTGAGTTTCTAATGATATTTTATGAAAAATAGAAAAGAAGCTGATACTTTTACCTCAAATCTTAAGAACCTTAGATCTTGACTTTTGAAGCAATTATTTCAAGTTCCAAACTTGCTCTATGAGGAAAATTATGAGAATAATTAAAATTGTAGTGGAAAGAATGGGTCAGGGAGCCAATATGGAACTAAGAGAAGGGCAAAAACTTTAAAATGATGAAAGAAACGAGGGAGGTTAAAAATTGGCAAAATAGGATTTTATTTGATATTGTCATCCTTACAATTTTTCTGTCACCGATGTAGAATGGCCCTATTAAAGATTTGATTCTGTATGGTCACATTATAACACAGAAAAATGTTAACAGGCAGCTGATTTTATTAAATTTTGGTCATTACATTAAGTAAGAGCTGATACTTAGAAGCACGAAGGCAACTATTATTAAACTTATTTATTGCTTCGATAATTTTGCTTGCATAGCTTTGCACTACTTGTTTTAGATGATCATTAATGCAGCTGGAACTAATCTGAATGTTGTTCTCACCATTATATAATCATTTTTGGATGGGCTTACTGTCATTTTCATAGACTTGTTTTTTCATGTACTTGACACTAATGTTTACATTTATTTTTGCATTTGGCAGATAGTGACAAGACAGAATCGTACATTAACTATTCAACTCCAGAACAGAAATGGGCGTGGAATGCTCCGCAAGTTAGGGACACTCACTGTCCATGCAGAGGAAACAATTGCTTCAAAAACTGCTGTCGAGTTAACACTAAGGTGTTATCACTTGGCTAACAAAGATTTATTTTCCCTGAGTGTAAGTAATGATAAATGAGCCATTTTGGAGTGCTTGCTTGCGCTTCTTAACGTTAATGTTTGTCATCTGTGTTAGATCTCAGTTTTTTGTCCCTTTTGTTATAGGATCCCTTCTTAAGAATATCTAGAATGGTTGAGGGAGGAGGTTCTGTGCCAATATGCAAGACCGAGGTGGTGAACAACAATCTGAATCCAATGTGGAGGCCCCTATGCTTAAGTATGCAGCAATTTGGGAGCAAGGCAAGTTTCATGTCATAAACAATTTAGATGATAGATTAAAGTTTATTGAGTGCTTGATATTATTGTTAATTCAGGTTGGCAAAAGGTTGTTAGCTTAATGCGCTTCACTTTGATACAGGAAACCCCACTCGTTATTGAGTGCTTTGATTTCAACAGCAGTGGAAATCATGTGCTTATAGGGTAATTGTTTTTCGTTTGGCTTTCCTTATACTGTTTGCCTTTTTTTCTTGTCAATAGAATTTAGTGGTTGGGACCAATATCAATACATTCTTTTTCATTTCCTCAGTAAGCTTCAGAAATCAGTGGCAGAACTCGAAAGCCTTCACAGAGAAAAAAATGGTGCTAATTTCATCATTCCGTCTCGCCATGGTCGTGAGAAGGTGTTAATTCTTTCTAGGCATACCATCGAATATACAATTTTATTGTCTTTGCTAATTCCACTTTGCCTAATAGGTGCTGAAAGGTCAGCTGTTTGTGGATCAATTTTTGGAGAAGGAACAATATAGTTTTCTGGATTATATTTCGAGTGGCTTTGAGCTAAATTTTATGGTTGCTGTTGACTTTACTGGTAAATAACCTTTGATTGTCTTGTTATTGACACTTCTTCTTCCCCTCACTTTTTTGGTCTTTAGTTTGATATCTGGTTCATGCATTGGGTATTCATTTTTTCAGCTTCAAATGGGAACCCTCACAATCCAAATTCTCTGCACTACATAGATCCTTCAGGCCGGTTGAATTCTTACCAGCAGGTGAGGCTCTGGTATTCTGTTGCACTTATAATGGGTAGTAGTTATTCTCTAGAGATTTTATAATGGAGATATATTAGAATGATAACACTACATGTACAATTTGTTGGCCTACCCAAATGATTTTGAACCGTTCAGTCCTTCAAGATGTTCAAAATTTTGTACTAAGTATTCAGTTTGATGGTTTTAGTTTAGTCTGGAACTTTTTGGTCTTTTCATTATTAAAACCAACCAGAACGACACGCAACTTATTGAATGGAAATAATACGAATAATGCATGTAAATGAATACAAATTTCACCACCAAAAAAATAAAATAAAATTATATGGACTACAGAATAGTTAAGAAAAGTGTCAAAACGTTACTTTTATTATTCTGTTCTTATATATTCAGGTTTGCAATACAAAATTGAGCCAAAGACAAACTTTTGTTTTATTTCCATACTGAACTGAATCAAATTATATGAAGTGCACAAGTTTTTTGTTCAATTACTCAGTTTGTGCCGAATAATGCCATCTCCTAATGATAAAGCAGCTTTGGTTGTTCAAGTTAAGATGAGATGTTATGTGCCAAATATTTTTAAGTGGGTGTAGAATGAACTTCAAATTTTATTTTATTTTTTCCAGTTTGGACTTCCTTTTGCTATTTAGAAGAAAATATCATCATCAATGAATTAGCTGCGTAGTTGATTGACAATTATTTGCAGGCTATAATGGAAGTTGGGCAGGTCATACAATTTTATGATTCTGATAGGCGTTTTCCTGCTTGGGGATTTGGAGGAAAGACACCTTCTGGAACAATATCTCATTGTTTTAACTTGAATGGCAGTGCAAGCTTTGAGGTAAGAAGATAATCGCAACCCATTGCAATGCCTGATTATCCATACAGTTATTGAATTGGTTTGCATATATAAGCTGGTTTCTCTAAAGCTAAAACAATGTTTCTTTTTCCCTTGTTTTATTTTCCTAAGTTTTAATGACAAAGTTTGTAGATATTTGTTGACTTTTTGCTTTGTCATCCAATAGTTTTTGATTTTTGCATACTAATGTTCTTTCCTTATGATTCCTAAGCCTAATTCTTATTAAAATTTATCAGCACATTATCATTTAGACTGTCAGTGCTAGATGGCGTTGCTCATTGCCTGGAATCTTTTTGCTCCTTTTGGGAAATAATTCTTCACAGTAGCCCATGAATAGGTATATTTACTGAAATCGGCAATTTCACAAGCCCTTTAAAGATATTTAACAGGTTGAGGGCGTCGAAGGCATCATGGCTGCTTATGCAACTGCTCTACGCAATGTTTCTCTTTCTGGACCCACTTTATTTGGCCAGGTGATCAACACAGCAGCACAAATTGCTGGTCAGTCTATCTCATGCAACAATGGCAAGTATTTTGTCTTGCTCATTATAACGGTAAAGTGAACTATAACCTCCTTGTTTTTCTTTTTCTCCTGTTTGTCTTTACGTAGTAATAAATAAGTTGTCACCTTTCCTAGGATGGAGTCATCACAGATATGCAAGAAACTAAAGATGCTTTGGTGAAGGCATCTGATCTTCCTCTATCAATTCTTATAGTTGGAGTAGGAGGCGCAGACTTTAAACAAATGGAGGTTTGCTTTTCTCTTCTTCAGTAATCTTTACACCATACTATAAATTTGCTTTGTTTGTAGAACAATTTTGAACTTTTGGCAGAGCACTCATCTGCACCCATTAGAAATCTCAACATCAAAATGAAAATGCTCTAAACCTTGTTCTTTTGCAGATCCTTGATGCTGATAACGGATGTCGATTACAGAGTTCTACTGGTCGGGTGGCTACGCGAGATATTGTACAATTTGTCCCAATGCGAGAAGTGAACAGTGAGTATAATTAATGCTGCCATTGTTTCATCCCTGAAAATTTATCTGAATGAACTAAAAGCTCTTGTAATGATATAAGTTCTGTTGTATTGATGGGACAGACTGATAGATTAAAATTTGCTGTAAATTGTTGGATATAACATAAAAGGCCTAATGTACTGCCTCTTGCTTTTAAAACTGACTCAAAACTGCTCACTTCATTTCTGTTTTGAATATGATCACATGATGGTTGAGTTCCTTTGCAATTAATTAAAGGTCGGTTGACTGAATGCAATTCATTGCTGCCTTGTTTATAAAGAATGTTGGATGGTGGTAGGCAATATCTAGGAAACACAATTGGCAGTCCGCAGTGAGATGCTAACTGTCTGGTGGAGAAAGATCATATGATTGACATCATAAAATTAATCACTTTTGAAGTATGAAATAAAGGCTTAACGATGATGGCTTGTTGCTGCCTTGATCACAGTTGAGCTGTGCATGCAGGCTCAGACACCCACCCACACAAACGGACTAGCCACTCTTACATACCCTATTATTTGAGAGTTTGCTTCTAACATAGCTGAAATCTTGTATGCTATCCTGAGTCTGAGGAAATATTTTGCTTTTATCTTTTAAAGCTGAGTGCTCCTCTTTGACCTAGTTGAGGCTGTCATTCATGCTTGAATGCAAGTGACCCTCTGAAATGTTGGCAATTTCATGTTTTGACCTTCTGGACTATAAGTTCAAAAGGTGTTACTATTTGATCTCTTTTCTAATTTATTTTTGTCTATCCTCTTTATTCTTGAAAGCTCAACTAACATGCTCACTGTGCTTTGAACAGGTGGACAGATTTCTGTCGTTCAAGCTCTTTTGGAAGAGCTGCCTGGACAGTTTTTGACCTATTTCAGGTCTAGAGATATCAAACCACATGCTCGTCACATTTGATAGAGAGCATTCTTCTCTGGAATCATATCAAAATTCCTCAAATATTGCACATATTAGGTGTAAACCGAAGGTTGTTCATATTAAGAGGGGAAGACTGACATATTAGGAAATCAATTTCCACTTCTTTTCTAGAGAAAGAGGGGGTGGGGGGTGGGGTGGTGTTTGAGGGCGGGGAGTCACCGCCTGCTTTACCACTTGGTAAAGATAGAAGTTGACAGGGCTCAATCCCCTAGTGTATGTGACCTGTTGATGAAGTCTTAGAAGTATCAAAATTTTTCAATTGTTATTTAATTCTATCATTTTTTTTTCTCTTGCACAATGTGAAGATGGATGCACAAATCCTGTTTTGCCATTCTCTTAGCACATCAATGGTGTGATGAAGCCTGATTCTCACTTTTTCACAACAAGACATTGTTGTTAATTAGTTGCTGTAAAGTTCACTGGTGTCGTAGATGAAAAGCTGCTCTTCTTTTTCATAGACAGAAATAGTAATTTTTTGCTGCAAATGATATTTCTGCTCTCTCTAATTCTTTTTAGCTGCAAATGAACTGCTGCTCACTAATTCTTCTCGTTCGATCCTAGAAACTTGCCGGCATTGTTCAACATCGTGTCCTTTAGGCATTGGCTCTTAGCCTCTTACCCTGTTACTAGTGAGCAAAACATGCCTGGCTGCTTGCTTGATTTGGAGGATGTATGGATTCCAAATTTTCATTCCGGATCTGGTGACAAGGAGGATCCATCATCAACCAGATATGATAAGAAACAATCTTGAAACTAGCAGAAAACAAGGAATCTAGGATTATAACTATTTTCATATAGAGATTGACGAGAATTACTTAACCAGAAAAATGGACAAGAACTGAAGCGAAAGTGACTTGCAGTCTGTTCTAAAATTCCGTATAAAAATCTTGCAGTCTTGCTGTTTCTGTTTCGAATCTGGTTACACTCTGAGCTGCTCATTCTTCAAGTTACACGGAGCATAAATTTTCTTTTTTCACCAGGAAGCCAACAGCTTTAAGCAAATAACCTCCCAATCTTGGGACCAGTGATCATCGACTTTGCTAGCCCTATCCGCTGCTTCCCTTTGTTCCCTCTCAGCTTCTAAGAGAATTTTCATGTATGTATCTAGTTTTCGTCTTCTCCTCAACAGCATGGGCTCGGGGATCCTCCATGTCTAGGAGAACTTTCATGTACGTATCCAGTTTTCGTTTTCTCCTCACCAGCATGCATGGGCACGGAGATCTTCCATGTCTAGGAGAACTTTCATGTATGTATCCAGTTTTCGTTTTCTCCTCACCAGCATGGGCAAGGAGATCTTCCATGTCTTCTCAAGTATGAGCTTCTTCTACTTCAATTTCACGAATTTTCCTTTTCAATGCTTCCTTGGTTGCTTTAAGAGTTCTGGTCTTGCTGGTAAGATCTTCATAACGGTTCATCAGTTCAGCAATTTTTGTTTTGTTATTAACAAAATAGCTGTCTTTATTTTGGTAATATCCACTTGTTAAGTCAGTTAGTTTGTTACATCAATTAGTTAGCTGTGTTAATTAAGTTAGAGAAGCAGTTAGTATAGCTGTTAGCATTAGTATAAATGCTCACGTAGACAGTCACATTTTGAATTTGAATGAACAGTGGAAATCCACAATGCAAAATTTCTCTTCATTCGTCTCTGCTAAATCTTCTCTGACATTTCTCTTCTTTTCATTTGCTCATACTCTAGCCATGGAAGTTAACATGGTATCAAAGCTCACAAAATGCTAGGGTTCTTTCGCTTCCTTACAATTTCTCCAAATTCAAATCACAATTTCTTCACCTCTGTTCAATTTCTTCAATCATCTTCCATGGCTGAAGTAACATCATTGATTGATAATCCTCACTCTCCACACTTTATTCATCATTCCGATCATCATGGTTCCTTAACCGTTACTCCCGAATTAACTATGGAGAATTACGCGACTTGGAGCGAGATCATTTGTTCTTTGCTCTATCAATTCGCAACAAATTAGGTTTTATCGATGGTACCATTCCTCAACCTATAGATGATAATGCTTTAGTTAATCCATGGAATTGATGAAATAACTTGATAGTTGTTTGGCTATTAAGATATATTTCATCTTCCGTGGTTGCTACAATTTCTACATGAACTCTGTTGCAAAAATTTGGAAAGTTTTGAAGAAAGGGTTTGCGCAACTCGATGAATCAAGGATTTGTAATCTGCAGGTGGTCATTGTGTTCAATTACACAACGAACTAGATCGATAAACACCTATTTCACTGAACTTAATGGAGTGTGGGAAGAGTTAAGAAGCTTCGGACCTCTATCTCACTATAGTTATGGAAGATGTAATAATGAGTGTTTTCGCAGCTTCGTGGAGATTCACGAAAAGGACTACGTGTTTAAGTTCCTTAACGGATTGAATGAGTCATTTGCCTCACTCGAAATCACAACTTCGGTTATGAAACTATTTCCTAATCTGGATGAAGTCTATAATCTAGCCATGAGAGAAGAATCTCATAGGTCCATTCAACTGGTGAATCATCCTCTTAATGAAGTTTCATCTATGGCCGCTCGTTTCTAATAACGAAGAAGGATGGATATTAGTTGTTCTTATTATGGAAAACCGAGTCATATCAAGGAGAGATGTCATAGACTTATTGGCTTTCCTACCGATTTCAAATTCACTAGAAGTAGAGATCTCGGTAGCAATGGTTCTACTACTAGATATGTCAATGCATTACACAATTTTGTTATGGTCATGGCAATTCATCACGTTATGTTCATAATGTGGTTGCTAAACAAGAAGAATTTGGCTCTCCACATCCTTAAAATTCTCATCGACTTAGTCAATCTCCTCGTATTACTTTCACTCGAAGCAGAGGTTGCTAGACTCATGGCTCTTTTAGATGTTCAAGGTTCACGAGCCTCTCCTTCACAAATGACTACTCAAGTCGATTCTTCGTTACAAATCATTCACGACCTATATCCAATCTCACAAGTAGTGGCCTTACTTCATCTAGTACTTATTGTCATCCTTAAGCTCTTATTTCTTCGTTTAGTCCTTGTATATGGATCATTGACATAGGAGCTACCGATCACATATCATGCTTTCTTAAATACTTCAAAAATTATAAACCTATTTCTAGTATGTTAGTTCAAATGCCAAATGGCTTTAAAGCTATTGTCACTCATATTGGTCAAGTATGTCTAACATCTTCATTCGTATTGACTAATGTACTTTGTGTCCCTTCCTTTAAATTCAATCTTATCTCGGTTAGCAAACTCATAAACAATTCTTCCTATGCACTCGACTTTCCGTGATAAATCTTATGTAATTTAGGACAACTCTTCAAGGAAAATGATTGGAACTGCTAATCTGCAAATAGGCTCGTTCTTGTTTCAATCTTTTCAAATTTGTCATTTTTCTTCAGTCAAGCATACTTGTATTGTTTACAAAGTCACAAACATATTCACCAATCCTTTTACTTTTAATGTATGACATTGTAGATCGGGTTATATTTCTCATGATAGACTTCAATTACTTAGCAAAAATGATTCTATCAAGTGTAACAATCATTGTCCTTGTTTTGCATGTCCTTTGGCAAAACAAAAGAGATCTGCCATTCCCTATTCATAATAAAAATACTAATTTTTCTTTTGAATTGATTCATATGGATACTTAGGGACCTTATTCGGTTGCTTCTCTTGGTGGTTTTCATTACTTTCTCACGATGGTTAATGATTTTACTAGAATCGGATGGGTATTTTTACTTAGACACAAATCGGATGTCTTATCCATTATACCCTCATTCTACCAAATGATCCTTACACAATTTCAGTCTTCCATTAAAATAATCAAGTCTAATAGTGGTCTTGAATTTCATCTTCCCTTATTATACACTTCTAAAAGTATCATTCATCAACTTTCTTGTGTCGGTACTCCTCAACAAAATGTTGTTATTGAGAGAAACATCAATATTTATTTAATGTTGCTCGGTCAATTCTCTTTCAAGCATCCTTACCTCTAAAATTCTAAAGGGATGCTTTCCTTACTACTCGCATACTTAATAAACAGAACTCCATCTCCTTTACTAAATAACTTGACATCATATAAATTGTTATTCAAAATGCCACCCCATTATGATCATTTGAAGGTCTTTGGCTCTTTATGCTTTGTTTTCACCTCTACATCTCATTGTAAGAAACTTCACCCTAGAGCCATTCTATATGTATTTCTTGGTTATCTTGATGGCATTAAAGGTTATAGAATTCTTGATTTACTCAATCACAAAATTTCGGTCTCAAGAGATGTTATCTTCCATGAATCCATACTTCCTTTCTATCCTTCTACTTCTTCATCATCTTTATTTCCTTCCAATTTATCTTCCGAATCTCTTTTAACATCTAACTTGTTTGACTTTATAGCTATTCAACCTTAACATTCTATCTTTCCATCACCAGTTCCTACTCCAATCAATGATGCATCTAATGCTTTATTTCATATTGAGTCCATTCCTCTAATTCCCGATTCCCCTATGCCCATATCTCAAGAATCTTGTCCTTTGGTAATTCCTTCATCTTCCTTACCAATCGAACAGTCCATTAGCACTACTAAACTTTCCGTTTATTTGGAAGCTTATTCTCATTCTCTCTCTTTTAAACCTACTCCAAGTAGCAATCTTTCCTATTTCACTCTATATCCTCTTCACTTTTACTTATCCACCTCTCATCTTTCTCCTCCCCATACTCGCTTTTACTTGTCTCTTTAACAAATACCTTTGAACCTCATACTTATTCACAGTGCCGTGAAATTTGATCATTGAAAAGAGGCCATAAAGGCTGAATTACTTCCTCTTGAAGATAATAATACCTAGTCCGTGATTCCTTTACCTTCGATCGGCATGCTCGTAGGCTTTAAATGGGTTTACGAGTTAAGTTGAGAGTTGGTGGTTCTATTGAGCGTTATAAAGCTCGTGTCCAAGGGTTACGATCAAATGGAAGGTTTTGACTTCCAAGAGACATTCAGCCTAGTTGCCAAGCATACTTGTTAACAAATGCGAGAAAAATATGATAGAAGCACACGGGAAAGAGAGAAGCAAAACAGAGGTGAAAAATGAAGCTCCTCTGCACGTGCATTCCTTTCATTCAAATTTATAAATGTGTTGTACGAGAGGTCATGGAGTTGGTAAACTAATCCTAACTTTAAGGAGGTTTGTCTTCACGTTCAGCTCCTAAAAGTAAGCTCCACCACAAAAGCAAAATTCTAGAATATTTTCTAAATAAAAATACAACAAAAGGTTACACAAAATTTGTTGACAGCTCTTGTGTCAACCTATCGTCAACACTCCTCCTTGGCACAAGAGCTGCCGCAAACGCCAAGGTGGAGCCTAATCATTTCAAATCTTCCTTTTGACAAACTCTTTGTGAAGATGTCCGCCAATTGCTCCTCACCACTCGCAATGGAGGAGCTTTACTTCTCCTTCATTTTGATAATATCTTAATGAATGATACTTGATCTTGATATGTTTTGTCCTTCCATGAAACACTCGGATTCTTTGCAATGGCAATAGCTGAATTGTTGTCACAAAGAATCTCTGTAGGATTCCTTTGCTCTTGTTTCAAATCAACCAACATCTTCCTCGACCAAATTGCTTGATTGATAGCATCGGCAGCGAGCAATATACTCGTGCTTCTGCTGTTGATTGAGCAACAATTTTCTACTTCGTGTAGACCCGACTAACCATGGTCGAACCAAGGGAAAAACATTGACTCGATGTGCTCTTCATATCATCTATTGAGCTTGACCAATCACTATCGGTGAATCCCGGTAGCTTCAAGCCAGTAGACCTTCCGTACATCAAACCAAGATCAATTGTTCCTTTAACATATCTCAACACCTTCTTAGCGACTGATAAGTGCACTAGTGTTGGAGAGTGTGAGAATCTTGAGAGCACATTTGTTGCAAACATTATATCGAGTCTAGTGATTGCCAAATAAGTAAGACAACCAACCAAACTTCGTAAGCGAGTAGCATCAACTTTTTCAGCTGCATCATCTTTACTTAACTTCGGTCCTCGCACCGAAGTGTAGAGACCGATTTGCACTTGGTCATTGCAAACCTTTTCAACAACTCTTTGGCATACTTATGCTGAAAAGTAAAGATGCCATGTGAGACTTGAAGAACTTCAATTCCAAGAAAAAAAGACATTTTCCCAAGATCATTCATTTCAAAGATTTGCTTTATTTGATTCCTAAATTGATCAACAAAACTGATATTGCTACCGGTAATAAGAAGATCACCAACATAGATGGAAATGATCAAGACATCATCACTTATCTCGCTTCATATACAAAGTTGCCTCATTGCAACTCTTGCTAAATCCCAACTTTATCAAATACTCATCAATTTTGGTATACCGAGCCCGTGGAGCTCGCTTTAAGTCATAAAGAGCTTTCTTCGAGCAAATATACTTTGTTTGAGGCTTGCTCAAGCTCAAAGCCTTTAGGTTGCTCTACATAAATCTCCTCCTCGCAATTGACCATTCAAGAAAGTCGACTTCACATCTAATTGGAAAACACTCCAGCCTTTATGAGCTGCTATGGCAAGAATTAGTTTGATGGTTTCAAACCTTGCCATTGGTGCAAAAGTTTCATTATAGTCAACTCCAGTGCTCTTGTGAATACCCTTTCACCACCAGCCTTGCTTTATGCTTCGTCGATTGACCCATCGAATTGAGCTTAAGCTTAAAAACCCATTTTACACCAATTATATGCTTGTCGGATGGCCTATCAATAAGAACCCAAGTGCCATTCTTGTTTATCATCTTTAGTTCTTCTTCCATTGCAGCCTTCCACTCGAGAGACTCTACAGACTTCTTGAACACTTCGGCTCAAACATAGCAACATTGCACCTTTCATAAATGTCCGTAAGTGTTCTTGTTCCTCCGATAGCTTGGTTTTCATCATCCGAATCCGAATCTTCTTCTTCAAACACAAGCACCTTGTTCTTGGGGCATATTTTCCTCAAGACCAATCTGATTTGGAGAGGTAATATTGGACTTCTCCCAATCCCACGTTGCTCGGTTCATCAACCTTAATGTCTCTTCTAACCACAACCTTTTGTGAGGCTATGTCAAAGACTCTATAGGCTTTGGAGTTATTGCTATAACCAATTAGGATCCCAACATCCGCCTTCTTCACTAACTTGTCCCTTTTTGGATCGGGAACATGAGTATAACACACACTACCAAATATCCCGAGATGAAAAACGAAGGTTTAACTCCAAACCGGGCTTTAAATGGAGTCTTACCCTCAATTGCATTAGTTGGCAACCCGTTGAGCAAATACACGGAGGTATTGACGACCTCTCGCCCAAAAATGCTTAGGAACACCTTTCTCAAATAGCAAACACCTTACCATATTCATTACGGACACTGTTCTTCCTCTCATAAACTCCATTCTATTGTGGAGAGTATGGGACGGTAAGTCGGTGATGGATTCCAGCTTTTGCCATAAATTCTTCAAACCGATTTGATGTATATTCCGTCCCGTTATCGGACCTTAGAGTCTTGATTTGAAATCCAGATTGCTTCTCCACTATTGCTTTAAAATTCAAGAACATGCCAAACACTTCGACTTCGCTTCGGAAAATAAACCCAACACATTCTACTAAAGTCATCAATGAATAATAAGAAATATATACTACTTGAGTGAGGGTGTCCTCATGGGACCACACACATCGAATGAACCATCCGGAGCTTTATAGAAGCTCTCCAAGCTTGATTTGCGGGGAATGGAAGCCTTGTTTGCTTCCCAAATTGACACACACCACATACTTCGAATTTTCACTCACGGTAGGCATATCAATAACCAACTCATTCTTTTGCATTTGTTTTAGAGCAAGTATAATTAAAGTGGCCTAGCTTTTGTGCCATAAAACGGATTCATCAACAACTCGTAATAAAGGATTTTATTTCAGCATTTTTCCATTGAATAGGAAAGCATCTCTTGATCATTTTAACGGAGAGAAGCTTGGCTTCTTTAGGATCAAACACATCACAGGCTTTGTTTTTAAACACCAAAGAATAATCATTTTCAAGCAATTGACCCACACTCAGTAAGTTTTGATCTAAATTAGGAACTAGAAGAACTTCGGGAATTAGTTTAGTACTCGAAGATGTATCCATAGTAATCACACCCTTGTCCGTGATTTTCAAGTAAGTTCCATCGTCAATCTTAACCGTTGAGGTGTAGTTCCTATCTAGCTCCTTGAACATGCCAGGATTAGGTGTCATATGATTTATGCAAGCACTATCCAAGTAGCCAAACTCTAGGATTTGTGGTGACGAGCATAGCAAGTTGCAACAAATAACTTCTCTTCCCGTTCTTGATGGACTTCGACAACTTGAGCTTGCTGATTCTGCTCGTTGTTCGATTTATTTTTGCATACCTTCTCAACATGACCAAACCGATGGCATGATCCGCATTGAACTCCCGGCTTGTACCAGCAGTATTTCTCTGTATGATTCCTCTTGCTACGGTGAGAGCAAGGAGGAAACTTCCCCGTTTTCCTCTAGACTTATTGCTCCGAGTATCTTTCTTGTCTTTGTCACTTTTATCACTTTGTTGCTTCTTCGAACTAGAACTGGAATGAGCCTTACCTTTGTTCCGAGTAAATAAAGCTCCTTCGAAATGCTCCTCCCGCTCGATCGGCCTTCTATGTTCGGTAGCTTACAATGAGTTAACAAGCTCGACAAAGTAATGCTTGACAAATCCTCGAATCTTCAAGAGATGAAATTTTGGCTTCAAACTTCTCGGGTAAGCTAACAAGCACCTTCTCCACAACCCTTTTATCCGGCAAGTCCTCTCCCATCAATCTGATTTGGTTCACCACCTTCATGAGTCCGTCGAAAAATTCCTTGACTAACTCTGAATCCTTCATTCTCAAGGATTCAAATTTTCTTTTGAGATTGAGAACTTGCATCCGCCTTGTTCTTTCACTATCACTAAACTCCTCCTCGAGCCTATCCCATGCATCTTTTCCAGTTTCACAAGTCATTATTCTTGTGAAGATTGTTTCGGCATACGCGAGCTTGGATGCACGAAAGTGCCTTGTATTATTTTGAAACCTCCTCACTATATTGCTTGATTTGAGCGATGGTGGGATTTGCTCTCGAGGGCTCGGGGTTTCGCCGGTTCAATGACCTCCCACGGATCATAGGCCTTCAAATAGGCTCTCACTTTTGCAGCCCAAATTTCATAATTTTCTCCCGTGAAAACGAAGGAAGTGGAACTGTAAAATTGATGGAAGCCATCACTTGAAACTCACAAACTCTTGGGTCTTTTGGTGAAGGTTGCCTTTCCGGTTTTCTCTCAAGAAAACTCTCACAGCCCCTCAAAGATCAAATGAATGCTCGATACCACTCGTTAACAAATGCAGAAAAATATGATAGAAGCACACGAGAAAGAGAGAAGCAAAATAGAGGTGAAAAATGAAGCTCCTCCGCACGTGCATTCCTTTCATTCAAATTTATAAATGTGTCTGTACAAAGGTCATGGAGTTGGTAAACTAATCCTAACTTTAAGGAGGTTTGTCTTCACGTTCAGCTCCTAAAAGTAAGCTCCACCACGAAAGCAAAATTCTAGAATATTTTCTAAATAAAAATACAACAAAAGGTTACACAAAATTTGTTGACAGACTCTTATGTCAACCTACTATCAACAATACTACTATCGAGTTATTTCTTGTCTTGGTTGCTAGTAATGGTTGGTCTCCATCTCAACTGGATGTTAATAATGCGTTTCTATATGGTGATTTGGATGAATTGATATTTATGGATTTGCCTCCCGGTTATGAGCTTAAGGGGGAGTGTAGAGTTAGTTCACGCAAATTGGTTTGCGGGTTACACAAATCCTTATATGGGTTGAAACAAGCCTCTCGGCAATGGAATGCTAAATTTACTTTTTCTTTGCTTGAATATGGCTTTAAACGATCTACTATTGATTACTCGTTGTTTACAATGCACACTACTTCATGCCATTTTCTTGCCTTGTTGGTTTATGTGGATGATATTGTGATAGCTAGTAGTTGTGATGATGATATAGCTAATCTTAAATAGTTTCTTGGCAAGAAATTCAAACTTAAGGATCTTGGTTCACTTAAGTATTTCTCAAGCATTGAGGTTGCAAGATCACAACAAGGGATTAATAGGCTGTCAAATAAAGTATGTTCTAGAATTATTGGATGAATATGGATTATGTGATTCTAAACCGAGCATTTACTCCTATGAATCTTAAGCGAAACTATTGCACACCTCGGAAGATGTTTTGAGTAATTCAACCGAATATGGACAACTTATAGGGAAGCTTCTATACTTAACATTCAACGGACTTGATTTTTGTTATGCACTCGTGTGTGCTTGCTCAATTCATGGATAAGCCATCTTCAATTCATTTACAAGCTGCTCATGGAATTCTCAAGTATCTAAAGGATGCTCCGAGTATAAAGGCTACTATTTTCGGATAATTCATCACCGAAATTAAGAGTCTTCTCCGACAAGTGATCGGGCTGGTTGTGTTGAAACTAGAAAATTAGTTTCTAGGTTGTGTGTTTCTTGGTGATTCTTTAGTTAGTTGGAAATCCAAGAAATAAAGCTTGATAGCCCGCAATAGTATAGAGGCAGAGTATAGATCAATGACAACTCGTCACATGTGAAGTTATGTGGATGCAATTCTTGTTGAAAGATTTAAACATTCAACATTGTGAACTAGCATTGTTATTCCGTGATAATCAGTTTGCCCTACATCTACGTAAGAATACGAGTTTATCATGAACGAAGCAAGCACATTGAAGTGGACTGCCACTTCATTCGAGAGAGAGTGAATTCTAGTTATTCAGCCTTGTTACATGCCTACTGATCAGCAGATTGCTGATGTTTTTACAAAGGCATTACAGCCTAGAATCTTCAATGGATTAATCAGCAAGATGAACATGAACAACATCCATGCTCATCTTGAGGGGGAGTAACAGAATAGCTAGCTTTATTTTGGTAATATCCACGTGTTAAGTCAGTTTGTTTGTTACATCAATTAGTTAGCTTTGTTAATTAAGTTAGAGAAGCAGTTATTATAGCTGTTAGCATTAGTATAAATGCTCATGTAAACAGTCACATTTTGAATTTGAATGAACAGTGGAAATCCACACTACAAAACTTCTCTTCATTCGTCTCTGCTCAATCTTCTCTGTCATTTCTCTTCCTTTCATTTGCTCATACTCTAGCCATGGAAGTTAACAGTTATCTTCCATGGAGAATTTCAGTGCTCTAGTCAAGTCAATTTGCTGCTCATAAAATGGATGGTAGGTCACTAAGGAATCAGCATTCTCGACGTTTACTCGAACAATTTCTAGTTGCTGAGGATTCAGAAGAGGGCTGTTCTTTAGATTCTTCAGAGCGGACAGCAGAAAAAGGCGATCAGCCAAGCTAGCTACTTCTATAGGGATTTCATCTAGATTTTCCTTATCACGAGTCTCTTAATACACATCATTGGACTGGTCAGATTGAGCATGAGCACTTGAGTTTGACGCAGGGTGGGAAGCAGATGCCGGATTTGGATCTAGAAATTGTTCCACACTGACGAACAAAGATAAGATTTTTGTGTGCAAGAAGATGTTTCTGCATTTGGAGAAGTTGAATTATTCCGGAGGCAGTATCAGATGTGATTATAGTTGACCAAACGTAATTTGTCATTTTCTTTTTCAAAAAATACTCTTCTTTTTTTTTTTTATCAATCTTCTCATCTTATCTACTTTTTTTTTTTTTGTTACTTTTCTATTTCTTAAAAAAAAAAAAAAAACAAATTATATATATATATATATATATATATATATATTCATGAATTACAGAAATGGATCATTTCAAATTAGCAAATTGGTCACAGAAAATATACTAATAATGCCACGTTTTAGCTTAAGAGACCAAGATCAATCATGAAAAGCCGGTTGGGGCAATGGATGGATCCATAAAAAATCTAGAAATTGTAGCTTCATTAATTCCCAATGCTGATCATCTATATATAAGAATTAGGAGGTTTACAGCATGATCGAGATCTTGAAGTGGAATCGGGTTTTGGCTGCTTCCTTCCGAGAATACTACTATATATTAGATGAAAACCTAAAAAACAGCACTTATCTGGATAGGCAATGCTCCAGCTTTCCTGATCTTTCACACCTTTAGCTCTCCCTGGCTATGGATGATGATTTCAGTGGTGTGTCATAATCACAACACCCTAATGTCTCCTCCCTTAATCACTATGATATTGCCACGGTTTTTCAGTGCTGATTGATAATCACCAACACAAATGTTGTGTTCCAGCATAAAAAAGCAATTTTTATTTTTGTTTTAAATAAATGAAACATACGTGTTTCTCTATGATTTTAAGTGTCAAAATTAACAAAAAATTAGGTTGACCATGGATGGAGGGACCTCTGCTGCTTAATACACCAAATCATAAAAACTCAATTGCACAAATTAAATCCAATTTTATGTGAGGTAGAAATAATATGTTTTTCCATCTTTATTTTTTTTAATAATATCTGATGTTAATTTAGTGCCAAACCTATATATTCTTTCAGGAAAAAATAAAGAAGAAGAAGAAGGGAACAGAGAAAGAAAGAAATAATTCCACATTTCCTCACCCAGCCGACAAAAGAAAATCATCTATTAGAAATTTCTTGCAAAGAATCTGGGAGCTCCCAAGTAAACATGTATTTGTGCTCTTGTCAGTTGTTATTTATTCAATTGAATATTTGACAGAAAGGCTGAAAATATTATTCAACATTAAGATCCCAGCACAACAGCTAAAATTCGCACAAAGATGAACCTCTCTCCCCAATTCAAACTCTTAAAGAGAACATTATACATATGGAACAAATTAATAGAGGGCACTATAACTACATAGGCAAGCAACAACAACAGACCCTTAATGTCTCGTTGTAGGTAGTACTCTCTTGAAGCAGTAGCGTCTTTTTTAAAAGCACAAAACAACCCACAATAAAGGGTAAATGACATGAAAAATTAGTACAATAAAGGGTAAATTAGTACATAAATGACATGAAAAATTATTCAATAACTGAATGAAGCAGAGGTGAAATGCTCCGTCTTTAAAAATTAGTACATAAAACCACCATATTGCAGCTTTTGCATGTGAAGCTGGTTATTCTTCTTCAGAATCTTGAGTGTTCTGCAATCACAAGGTACCATAAATGATTGAAGTCATTATTCAAGTGTAGTCCAGCAAGAAAACATGAACTGTTCTTGGCATGTGATAAAAGTCATTTTCTCAAAAATGTCACTCACAAATAAAGGAAAGGATCAGTAAAAATCGCACTTTGTTTGACAAGCAAAGGATGCAAGTGAAAATCGCACATAACATATATCACCAGAACTTTTCATCCCGAAAAAGTTGTTTTAATCCGTATTCTTTCGTTCATAGCATGCTCAAACTAATTTTTGTTTGAATAGTTCATCTTATTAGCCAAGTGAGAATGGTGAATTTCTGTTAAATATCAAAACTTAGTTTTGGTTTTAAAAAAAACATAGTAAAAAAACAGGGCGAGACTCTTTGATGAACAAGTGTTCCATGTAGTCATAGAAGATTTTTTCCATTCATCTATTGAACTGAACAAATTAATGAAATGGGAGTACACGAGCTAGAAAGAAATAGAAATTTGGTTAGTTAATACATACCACTTCTGTATATAACTGTTGTATGGTGCTATTAAGGTTACCCTTCCACCGCCTTCTATCTTTTACTCTTGTCAACCATACTTTCTCTAGCTCTGGTGTGCTCAAGACTCTCGGAGAGAAAATCTTCATCTTAGGGCACTGTATCACAGTTACTTCTACCAAAGATGGGAATTTGAACGTGAATTTGGCAGGGCAAAAGCAAGTGAGGCTTGCTAAAGAAATAAGGGTCAGATATTCCAATTTCTTGAAAATTATAATCTCATTTTCTGCTTCCTCTTGTTGGATTGATACAACTTCTGTCACCATATCGCATTCTTCTACTGTCATTTTTGTGAGTTGCACAAGGTGTTTGGCCGTTGAGGATGTCACCAAGTATATCAACGCTTTGCATTGATATACATTCAAAACTGTTAGATTCCAGAAAGATGCCGTAGGTGGAGCTAAATAAATCACGCTGCTGCATCTCAATAATTGTAGAGTTCCAAGATTTGGAAGAAGTAGGTCCACTTGGAAATGCTGGTTCCAAATGTGCTCCAAATCAGGAAGACGAGAAAGTATCAAGTGTCGTATCCTTGTGAGAGCCGTAGCATGTTCCTCCTCAAAAGCAAGTCCATCTGGGAACAGCTGTTTGAAATGACCATCTCTTACGACAAGTGTTTCCATATTTTGGAATCTTTGAAGGAGACCAAATGGAAAATCTTCCGATTCATCATGAAAACATTGGAGGGCAAGAGCTTTTATTTTGTGAAAGAAGTCTGCTGGAAATTGACTTTCCCATATCATTGTAGTGTCCTTGCTGTTTAATGCAAATTCTTCTAAGTTGGGAGTGATCTGAAATCAGGGGAACGGAAGAAGTTGAATATGAAAAACAGAGATGGATATAGCATTTTTAAGGTGCTTTCGACATAAACAACATACTGATGGTAGGGTCGGACCGACCATAAATAACATATCAATTGTATATAAACCTATAGATATCATATCAATTTGTATGAAATTTTAATATAACCAGTTTTCATTCATTTTCCATAAAAAAAAAATTATATAATAAAGAATAATGACGATTAAACAAAGTTTATCAAGCAATTTCGAATCATCCCACAAATTCTACTCTTGATTTTGTTAACAAAAAAGTTTTGAATTAAACCATTAAATGTAGACTTAATTTTCTACATTATCATTTTCCACGAATTCAGGCCCATACCTTTCCAATAGATAAAAACGGTTGTGGAACTTGGATCTCAATTTCGTCCTCCTTGAATGGTCCTTGCAAGTTTGAATTTCTGAATCAAATACCGTCATCTTTTCACAGTGATAGACTCTTAATTCTTTTAACGCTGGCCATTCTGAAGTATGTATTTCTGTGTAGAATCTTCTGAGCTTGGGCAAATCAAAAAGTATCAGAGAGGTCACTTGAGGAAACTCAAACCTAGGAAATGCTTCCACTCCTTCCTCCTTTGAAACAATTTCCTCTATCCCACATTCATTTATTTCAAGCTTTTCAAGTTGGAGAAGATCCACGGCAATGGAGGATGGGAAGAGACTTTTTAGAGCTGGACATTTCCAAGCATCCACCGCGTGAAGATTTTTGAAGGAGAGAATTCCTTGGGGGTTACCATTCCACACATGCTTCAAACTTGGCAGTTTCCATAAATACATTTCTCTCAATTGAGTGGCTGTTACATCATGCGCTTCCTTTTCATTTATCAGAAATTGGAGATCAAACACCTCTTCTAATGAAGCACAATCAGTTACATCAAAATATTCCAAATTCTTGAATCTTCTTAGCATTTTGGGTGGAAAAATGTTCAATAATTTTTTTCCTTGTTCTATCTCCAGTTTCTTTAGCATGCAAAAGGAATCTGAATGAAGCTCATGATGCCAAATCATCTCCAGCCCATCCATATAGTTAAGTACCAATCGTTCCAAGTTAGGGAATGCAACCTGCAATATTAATTATTTTGTTAATACATGCAAAAGCACAGGCATATATATGAGAGGAAATCAAAATCAACATAGGGAGGATATGTGTCAGTGGCAAATTATGATTATGCATTAGGTATATGAAATACATGACAAGGATCAAAATAAGTTATCTTCAAAAGTACAAAATCAGAAGTTGGGGAATAATTAATTGGAAGATGGAGTAGAAAGTAACAGAACAATAATAATAATCACCTTGTCATCAAAGAGAGAGGAGTTTGTTCGTTTTGGCTCAGTAATGGTAGTTCCGGCCACTTCTGCACTTACAGAATTTGATACAAATGTCTTCAGATCAGGGCATTTCTCTATCCGTAGCAGTTTCAAGGAGGGGCATTTTATTAAGTTACAGATGCAGAATCTGATGAATTTTGGAAGACCTTTGAGCTCGAGAGAGCTTAACTTAGGGAACACAATTTCACTTCCATTTTCTCCTTCACCTAAATGTTCTGTGACAATTATTTCTTCCACACGCTTGCAATCATATACCTTGAGCTTTTGGAGTTGTGCAAGACTTTCAACCATAGATGAAGTGAAAAAATATCTTAAATTCCCACAGCCCTCCACTGTCAAGCTTGTTAATTTTTTAACCCAAGATCGGTCGTGCCATATCTTCTCCAGTTTGATTGAGGACAATTCCATGCTTTCCAAATTAGAGAATCCAATCTGCATATACAAATATACTAATTTCAATTTAGAATTGTAAATAGTTTTAAACTAATTAATGAATATTTATACAATCTGCATGCCAAGATGTTAAGAGAAAAATACACAGCAACGAGCCAAATTGTCTCATAGGCGAACGAGGATTTGATTTATTATCTCGGTTAATATGGCAAACCATCTCATCATATATGGTAAATTTATTTATTAAGAAAACCAAACTATTAATTTTAATATATTCAAGAAAAAAATTATCACATTAGTATATTCAGAATATGCAAAGAGGCAACGTTCAATTTATCTTACGTAACCATTAATTAGATGAACATTTATCCAATTGCATTATTTACCTATTTCAGTTACTCTATGAATATCACATTTCTATGATTTTAAAATGTTCTTTGTGCCAAAATAATTAAGAGAAGCAATTGATTAATGGGAAGAAGAGACTGATGATAATTAAGAAAGAGCTTAAAAAAATAATTTTTAATTAAAACAATAAAGGGAAAAATGCACGCCCATAAAGAAAGAAGGCGTCATATCTTTCTCTTTAATTTCCTAATTGGTTTGATGTCAATTTCTCTTTATTATTAGGCCCTCTACATAACCATTAATTAGATGAATATTTATCCAATTGCATTATTTACCTATTTCAATTACTATATGAATCTCACATTTCTATGATTTTAAAAAGATCTTTTTGCCAAAATAATTAAGAGAAACAAAGGATTAATGGGAAGAAGAGACTGATGATAATTAGGAAAGGAGCTTAAAAAATAATTTTTTGATTAAACTAATAAAGGGAAAAATGCATGCCCATAAAGAAAGAAGGCACTTTGTACCCAATGAAGCAATAACACCACTTCTTATGCGTTCCCAATGAAGCTCAGCTAGGAGAGGCGTCATATATCTCTTTAATTTCCTTTTTCTTTAGTTATTTTAAAACAAATTAAGATATGATAATTAATTGTCAAATACACCAAAAAAAAAGGAACAAGAAAAGGATGCCTACAATTCGAACAAGAGATTTCTTTCATAAAGTATAAAATAGTACACCACTTAGACGACTGACCTCAGGTTCAGCAGATCCATTGTTTGTTGGTTCTTGCTGCCTCAGGAATGCGGAAGAAAATGTGCTTAAACAGTCGACTATACACACGATCTTCAAGGATGGACACTCCACGACACCCCTTCCACAGTAGAAACTTGTTAAGTTGGGCAAGGACTCTAGAATAATAGAGTTCAGCTGAGGAAATATGATCTTTTCTGTTTTTACTTCCTCTTCTAATCCTTTTGTGATGATTTCTTCAATCATAGGGCACCATTTTACTTCCAACTCTTGGAGTTGCACAAGGACTGCTGCAATCGATGGAGTGAATATATTTTTCAAGCTTCTGCAATTATGAACTTTCAGCAATTTGAGCCCTCTAAAGTCAAAAATTCTATGAAGACGCTCGTTCCATACATTTCTCAACTTCAACAAATCAATCAACTGAAACCTTTCAAGCTTGGACAGAAGCCCAACATGTCCTTGATCAGAATTCAGCCCTTCTAGATTAAATACTTCTTCCAATGATTCGCAGTTTCTCACATCCAGCTCTTCCAAGTTGTTCAAGGACAACAACAGGTTAGAGGATATAGCACTTAAGAAAGATGCACAGTCCTCCACCATCAGTGATTTTAAATCACAGAAGATTTCTCCTAGAACTTCGCCATGCCATACCTCTTTCAACTTGGGAAAATCAGAGAGTTTCAACTACTGCAGACCCTGGGATCCAACCTTCCAGAACAAAAAAGTTGCAGTGGTTAAGCACATGAAAAGTTTACTACATAGGGTGCTTTGAACTGATTTTCTTCCAATAACTTTACCTAATTTGTTCATCAATTAAACCTTACTTTATTTTCTAATTATCGATCGTTTATCATATTGACCAATGGAAATTAAAGGCAAGGATGAATGTCCCAAGGAGTTAATGTAACTTTCCAATTTATCTATTGAATTGAACAGAGCTATTGTTACTTGCTAGCCACATGATAAGATAGAATGGGAAAATAAAAGCTGAAATGGTGAATTCAATACTTACGGCTTCTTTAGACAACTGTTGTATGGTTTTATTAAGGTCACCAGTCCACTGCCCTTTCTGTTTTTCTCCTGTTAGCCACAATACTCTTTTTAGCTTTGGTGCGCTTAAGACTCGTTGACAAAAGGTCTCCATTTTAGGGCACTGTTTCAAAATGACTTCTGTCAAAGATGGGAATTTGAAGGTGAAATTTGCTGAGCAGAAGCTAGTGAGGCTTGCTAAACAATCAAGTCTCAAACTTTCCAATTTCCTGAAAACAATCTCATCTTCTGATTCATCTTCCTCATTTGCTACAATCTCTGTTATCACCTTGCATTCTCTTACAGTCATTGCAGTGAGTTGCCCAAGACTTCTGGCAGTTGAGGATGCTATTAAATATATCAATCCTTTGCATTGCCAAACATCCAGCGATCTTAGATTTTGGAATGATGTGGTAGATGGTGCTAAATTGGTCAAACTGTAGCAGCTCCATGCTTCTAACTTTTCGAGATTTTTAATAAGTTGGTCCACTAGCAAATCTTGATTCCAAATACGCTCCAGATTGAGAAGCCCATTAAGTTTTAGGCATTTTATCCGTGCAAGTGTCATTGCATGTTTCTCCTCACCAACAACTCCTCTTGAGAACAGCTCTTTGAACAAACTACAACTTACAACAAGTTTTTCCAGATTGTGGACTCTCTGAATTAGGAGATCAAACGGAAAAACTGCCGATTCCTCATGAAAGCATTGCAATTCGAGGACTTCTAGTTTGCGAAGGATGTCCACCGGAAACTGGCCTTGCCTTATGATTGTAGCTTCTTTGCTGCTTAATGATAATTCCAACAAGTTGGGAATGATCTGAAAATCAATCGAAAGAAATCAAGTTATATATAGGTGAAAGCCAAAGGTGTACAAACATTCTAATTCACAGGTCTACTTCATCAGTTATAAACTATACTATAGGGTGTGAGGTTCCATCATTTGTAGATTTAGTTATGGACGCAGCTTTGTTTTTCAGTTGCTCGAAAGTGGGAGATTTGGTAGGCTTGTTACCTTTTGAGTTTGCCTTGTTTTCCTGAGTTGCTATCAACTTAGTCAAAATCTATGTTTTTTATAGGGTGGGAATAGGCATGGCTCATTTGTATAAAGTTGTGATTGTCAAAATCTCTTTGAGTTTGCGTTGTTTTTTATGCACTACAATAGCGTTTTGAATGTTCTCTAAAGATTACATCTCTTGATGAATTCAGAAAATTTGATTTTGTTGCGGGAAAAAGGAGAGTCAAAATTATGGAATAGTATTTGTAAGACCAAAAGACTGCACCACGGGCAGATCTGTCCTTGAATCTTACGTAATTTTGTGGAGCGAGATGTTGTAATAGAAATTGGTCAGACTACAGAAAACCTTCCCTATCTCTACAATTCAATTGGGAAAAACATTTAAGATCTGCCAGAAAACAAAAATGAGGGAGAGTTGTGTTTCCATGTTTCATAGCTGGGTCTAGAATCAACCATTTTGTCATGTGGAAGAAAGAACTTTTGGTTTCTTAAGAAACTAGAGATTTCGCACAATTCTTTTCTCCTCATGGAATCAAACCATTTTGTCATGTTAAGGATGGAATGACAATCAATAAATTGAAGACACATTCGTAAGTTAATTTTTTTTAATAAATAAATAAAGTAACAACTGATACATGCAATTAAGAGCAATATTTGATGGAGCAAACTATGTATTCGTGAAGAAATGGAAACTATGTTCTATATATGTTAAATACATCTAGTATTGCTTTAAGACCCACTCAAATTTGGGTAGAAGTTACCAAACCCAAAGTGACTAAAAATATGTTTGTCACATATCAGCACAATGAGACCTACGGAATTAGTTTTCTTAAAAAAAAAAAAAAGTCAAAATAGAGTTTAGATCCATACCTTAATAAATGAGAACAGTGGTTGATGAACTTGGATTTCAAGTTGTTTCTCCCTACATCGCGGTCCTTCTAAGCTTTGAAGTTCTGACTCAAATACTGTCATCTTATCACAATGATACACTGTTAACTTTTTCAGCATCGACAATTCTAGAGTATGTCTTCTAGGATAGAATCTCTTGAGCTCTGGTAACCTCCAAAATTGAAGAGAGGTTATTTTTGGAAACACAAAGTTCAGATCTTCTTCCACTCCTTCCTCTTTGGCAACAATTTCCTCTAGGATCCCACAAGAATCTACATTTAGCACTTCAAGTTGTAGAAGATCTAGGGCAACAGAGGTTGGGAATAGATTCTGTAAACTTGGACATTTCCAAACAATCACTGAGTGAAGGTTTTGAAAGGAAAGAATTTCTTGGGGATTCCCATTCCACACGCTCTTCAAATTTGGTAGATTCCGTACGTCCATTGTTCTCAATTGAGTGGTTGTAGTAGAGTGTGTTCCTTCTTCAATTATCAGAGGTCGGAGATCAAACACCTCTTCTAGTTCATCACAATCACTTATGACCAGTTTCTCTAGATTCTGGAATCTTCTTAGCATATTGGGTGGAAAAATTTTTAATAATCTTTTTCCATGACCAACCTTGAGTGCTTTTAGTTTGCAAAAGGAATCTGAATGGAGTTTATTATGCCATATCATCTTCAAATTATTCATGCCAAAAATTTGCAATTCCTCCAAGTTAAGGAATAGAACCTGCAAAATTTATTACACATTGTTAGTATTTTACATAAATAAACTAATTTTTGATGTGGATAAACAAAAATAAGTGTCACGTTAAAGAAGAAGAAAGGAAAGTGAACTCACATTTTCATCGAAAAGTGTTGATTTTGTATTTGCAGTTACAGAGTTGGAGATAAACATCTCCATTGCATGGCAATTCTCTATCTGCAACTCCTTCAAGAAAGGGCATTCAATTAAGTTACTGGTGCAGAATCTTATTAAGTTTCGAAGACCACTGAGCTTGAGGAAACCCAGTTTAGGAAACGCCACCTCCCTCACAATTGCTCCTTCCCTAGCTATTATTTCTTCCATGACATTGCAATCGCATATCTCAAGCCTTTCCAAGTGTGCAAGGCTTTTAACCATAGAAGAAGTGAATAAATATTTTAATTTCCCACATCCCACCACACTCAATTTCGTTAATTTTTGAAAGTAAGAAAACAGGTCGATAGATTGGTCACTCCATATCATCTCTATTCTGAGTGTGGACAGTTTCAAGTCTTCCAAGTTGGGGAAAACAATCTGCATACAAAAAGATCATCAACAATATTTTTATTAATAAATAATACACAAAAAGATCGTCAACAATTTGGGATGCAAGATTCAAAATAGCTATGTAAGTGCACTCAAATACAAACTAACCTAATAATAATATAGTAAATAAAGAGTAAATCTTGAAATTTAAAAATTAGAATTTCTAAATTCAATTGTAAATAACTTGCAATTATATCTATCCGTTTCTATTTAATAAAACTATGGTGTAGATAATTAAAAAAAAAAAAAAAAAACCAATATCATAATATGTTATTAAATAAAAATAATTACTTTTAACTTCTTTTAGAACTGAATATTTTACTACAATTTTACATATTTATGAACTTTAAATTATTTGTTTATTTAGAATTATGAAGGTCTTAAAAACTCATTACAATGGGTTTCACAACTAATTTAACGAATTTAATATTATTGAAAGATATTTCACACATCAACAAATTATTTTGAGGTGTATATTGTTTGACTATATTTTTCTCACCATTTGCAAGCTTTTCTCATAAATTAATTTTGTTTGTATTTTTTATGAATATATGTATATATCTGCATAATATATAGCTTTTCTTCCAAACTAAAAGTTTATCAAAATGAGAAATTCAAATATTTTATAGTTATTATTGGATTAACTGTCTCTAAACCGACTGAGGTGTATGGTCCAATGGTCAAATATGAAAAAGATTAATGAGAAAAGATATAGTTTTTTGAAATAAAAATAATACTAAATTAACCATGATTATAATTTACTCTAAAATCCCCAGACAAGAAAACTTAGGTTTAGCCTATAAAAGCAGCGATCTTTCACGCAGCCGCTGCTTTAGAACAAATCCCTCTCTCCCCCCAATATATTGAAACACCAAGCTCTACTTAATTTCTCCAACTTAAAGTTAGCATCTAATTCTAATTTCTAGATCGATGATGATGATGATGATGATGATGATGGCACCAGAACGAAGTTCAGCAGCATGAAGTTTGTACTCTTATTGATGTCTTAGGAATAACTGACTAAATTAATAATGGGCTCTGAAAATAGTGTTTCTACGTAGCCTACTTGGATAATAAATTTCTGGACCATTTTTTTAGCATTTCTTGTGTAACTTCATTAAATCATCATTGAATTTATGTGTTATATTCTAAAAATTGGAAGAAAAAAAAACATTTCGTGCCATATTTAAGTTCTCTGAAATTTCAAACTTTTAAAATACCATTAGCCTGCTTGGCCTTTTATCATGCCTTTGTAATTTACAATGAGCTACTTGTACTTGTTCTTTATGGGAAAAAATAAAATATAGAAATTGAATTTTAAGATAGAAGTTTATATTAATCAATCTCTCTGACCGTTCTCAACTTTGGATATTATAAAAACTTATACTTTGCAAATGAACTGCATAAACACATCCGTATATTTACCTTTTTGTTGAAAGCTGGCATGGGAGTCTCAAGCTCGTCCTCAGATGCAATTTCAATACTGGACCTCGCCTTTGTCTGAGATGTGGAAGCCCCATTCACTTTGGAGCAAATGCTTTTCAGCTGGGGTAGCCTTTCTAATGTCAGTGTGCGTACTTGACTTAACTTTAGCACTTCATCCTTGTGCTCAGCATCACCTTCACTTTCCTCAGCAACAATCACTTCCATGATTTTGCAATTACTTATCCCAATTTCTTCTAGTTGCAAAATGCCTCCTGCCAAGGACAGTGAAAAGACATTCTTCAATCTATGACAAGTTTCTATCTTTAAAATTCTTAACCTGCTAAAAATCTCCTTCTTCGGTGGGCCATTACAGATCTTCTCCAAGCTATTCAAATTGTCAAGAGACAGCGACTCCAAACGCGGGAAAGCAGCAATTGAAGGACCCATCATAATTGAGTCAACAATGTATTGAATTTCAAGACTCTCTTCGATATGAAGATGCTTCAACAGATGAAAACCTTGTGCTTCCAACTCATGGACAATATTTGTAACACCCTTCAGATCATGCAAATGTAGATCTTCGGTTCTCTTCAGCAACAGTTGAATCCCAGCCTCGAACAAAATGCTTGTATTGAGCTTGAGTTTCAAGGTTCTTGAGGCTTCATACTTACCCAACCAGTTCCATCCATCTCCAATCAAAATTCTAAACCTTTCCAACTTGTCCAAGAACAAGTCTTTTGGCAGAAGCTTTGCATCTGTGATATGTATGTCTAAAGTGAGCAGGTTTTGCAGATGCTTCAATTCAGCCAAGCTAGCATTCCTTTCAACTTTTTTTGATCCCTCGTCCTCCCATCTCAGAAAGCTGTCTTCCATATAAAGGTCCTCTAATTGAGTCAAGCATGACAGGACATTTGGAGGAATCACTACAAGTGTTGGATTATTGCTCAAATTTAGAAGTTGGAGACGAGTCAATTGCCCAATTTCTCTTGGCAGTCGAACAATATTTGAACCCTGTAAGCTGAGAACTAGCAACCTCTTCATCTCTCCAATTATAGCTATATCGCCCAGATCACAACGGTCCAGACACAATGTTTGTAGGTTTTCAAGAAATTGAAGTGACGAAGGTATTGCTAAAAGATGCAAATCTGACAGATCGACGACTTTGAGTTTTTTCATTTCTCTAAAAAAGTCATCTTGTATTTTCGGTGAGATATCGTCACCATACAGTATTAATGACTCGGTTTCCGGGCACTTTAATGCTGCAGGAAGCTCAGGGATTTCGCAGTATGGTAAAGAGATTGCGGTGCACTGTTCAAGCTCATCCTCCGTCGGCCATTCATTTAAGGCAGTGCCATAAGCTACAGCCAAGACACGATGATCCCTGGAAGCAATTGAGGCAGCAAATTGGTGAACAATATCATGCATTTTAACTGCTCCATCCGTGTTCCCTTCCACCAGCAAACAAGAAGCTTTGAGATCCTTCAAATATGTATGCAATCGATGTCTTGCTGCTTCTAAACTATTGCTTCTTTTAAACAAACCCAATCCCGTGGCATACATCAACAAGTCTCTGATCCAAATGCAATGAGGTACAAGCTGTCCACAAAGTAAAAATAGAGACTTGATTTCATCACCTTTCAAAAATTCATAGCTCAAATCAAGAGCGGAGGGAACTTGAGCATCCATTTCCTCCTTGTTCTTCAGCCGTTCCAAAGCATCCTTCCACTCTGATAAATTTCCATTTTTTAATGCCCTTGCAACAGTGGCTAGTAAAATGGGCAAACCTGCACATCTTTCAGCTACTTCTTGAACAACAGATTGTAAGCTAGGATCTTGAACAGCAGTACCCACCATCCTCTCAAAGAAATTCCATGCTTCATTTCCGGGTAAAACTTGAAGCATGAAATTATCTTTCAGTACCCCCATGTCACGGGATAATACATTTAGACTTCTTGACGTCATCAACAGTTTGCATCCCTCGTGATCACTTCCAGAAGGAATTCCCACATCCTCCAGTTCAAGTCTTTCCCAAATATCATCCAAAATTACAAGTATTTTCTTCTCTTTTTCCAGTCGGTCACGTAGCAGATTTGCTCTTCCATTGACAGTCTCCGCTTCCAATTTGAAACCTAGCCCATCTGCTATTTCTCCTTGAATATTTCTCAGGACAGGAGCCTTGGAAACAACTGCAAAAACCACCACGTCAAATATGCTGTGTTTCCTGACTTGTTCAGCAACCTTTTTCACAAGTGAGGTCTTACCCACACCCCCCATCCCATATAACTCTATCATGTTGACTTCAGCCTTCTTCAACGCCTCCAGAATTTGATTCAAAACCAGAGTTCTTGATTCGAATGCTTCGTAGTCTTTGGGAGGTATGACCCGTCTTGCTTGTGAAGCAGCTGGGTAAGAAACCCTATCAAATTTGATGACTTCTCGCTGGAGATCAAAAACAACCTCTAACTTCTTTTTTGCTTTTCTACTTAGCTGGTAGCGACTCTTCAAATTTGGACACGAACCCATGAAGCAGTTCTTCGTCGCCTGTTCTCCATCTACCAAAATTTTGTCAATCTCTCCTGTGATATTATTCACATCTGACAGCCACTGCCGAACATCAGATTCAATCTCTTCCCCTTGTCGTTCAGCGAGGTCCACATCATGTTGTGTCCTTACCGGTAGAAAAATTAATATAACCACACAATACTTTATTTTTAATAAGTCCAACATAAATTAGAAAACCAACTTTGATAAGTACTGCAAGTCCTATATCATGTAAGAAATCAACAGCTACTTGACGATTAAATCTTTAATTAAGACATAAGAATGGAAGATAAATAACAACTTGGTTTAATTCCAACGTTACCTTCGTCATTTCCAGCTTTTTGACCGTTTTCTTCAGATTTGAAAGGTTGCCTTCGTAGTTAAACACGTAAGAAATCGGGCGTCCAATGGGAGCAATCAGGAGCTCTACGATTTTGGAGGCAATGGCACTGACGATCTCCATACTCTTTATCCTGTTTTCAAAGTTTTTTTTCCCCCTCTCTCTGCCTCTTTGATTCTCGTTTTTTTTTTACTGTAGATAAACCAAACTCTAATGGCAAGTGATTTTGAATAAAAGGGAGGGCCAAAATTGGCGAAATTTTTTTTTACACTAGTGATAAACAAACAAAGAGAATCGCCTTATAATAATAAATAAATAAATAAATAAAAAGAAACAAAGTGGTTTTGCAATTTTTTTTAATCCGAAAAAAGCAAAATAAGTATCGCTTTTTTCCCTCGGTTTGGAAGAATACAGAAAAGAGACAGAATTTTTTATTTATTTTTTCAAACTAGGTAGTGGATACAGAGGCAAAAATCAAATAATACAGGTTATTTTCCATACGAACGCAAAAATAAAATAAAAAATAAAGAAAGAATAAGGAAAACAACACTAATATCTAAATGAACAAGAAAAGCTGCTATGTATTATAACAACAAGTAAAAAAACCTCTTAATTTCTTCGTTTTGAATTGGAATCGCACAGACAACGGAAAGAAAGAAAGCGTTGATTGAGAAACATACAGAATTGTTCTCCTTTCTGCTGCTTCGCTAATTAACAGAAATAAAAGAAAAGAAAAAGAAAAACAAAAGATAGAGGAACAGGTAGAGGTTTCTCTTTCTTTTAGCAAAGGTGTAGAGCAGCAGGTCCAGAACGAAGGATTGATCACTACTATAACAAAGAATGGATGGCTACATGAAATCCAAATAAACTGAGAACAAAAATGAGGAATGACGTGAGTAGAGCTACTGGAGAGAGAGGGCATATGCAAGTCAAGCAAAGTAATGTAAAGTATTGTTTAATTAAAAATTAAATGAGTAAATTATAAAGTAGTTCTTTTAGTTTTTCAAAAGGAATTAAATAGTCCTTATTGTTTTAATAATTAACTAATTAGTTCTTATATTTTTAAAGCTATTTGTAACTAAATCATTTATATTTTTTTATTTTTTAATAAATAGAGAAAGAAAAAATAAGTAAAAATTATAGAAAAATTGATGAAGAAAAATGATACTTTTTGGAATAAAATTAAATTAAATTAATTATAGTCAACAATGATCAATAAACTAATTAATTAGTTTTTTAGATAAAATAGATTATTTAATTCATTTTGTAAAACTAGAAGGACTAATTTATAATTTACTCATAAATTGGAGTAAATTATTATTTGATCACTGGTTTAAAAAAAAAAAAAAAACCAATTTTGGGTCTTCATATATATATATATATATGTATGTATGTATGTATGCATGCATTGAGAGACCCTTCTGACCTAAAGCAATCATAACCTCTAGCTGTACAATGGAATGTAACCCTCTTCTATGTTTTTATATTTGTTTGTAATTTATTCTTTCTATTGGTTAATCATGACAATCTAATAATTGTTTTTATTGAAGGCCCTTCATTTCTAATTAAATTTTACAAATTCACCTACTATAGAAAAAATTAAAATGCATTTAAAAAGGATAGTTTAGAAATTTCAATAAGATTTTACAGTCAATATCAAATGATTAATTTATAATTTTCAAAACATAATGACGTTACACAGAATTATATATATATATATATATATAAAAGAATTAAATTATAATTTAATTGGTAAAATAGAAGGACTGATAAAAAAAAAAATAGATGTTAACTTATTTATCTGGCTAAAAAGAAAAAACAGAGAGATGGACGTTCATTTTATCAATTAGGAGCGGGACGATGCATCCATTCTTTTTGTAAGGAAGTGTTTGATACACAGATTTTTATGTGATCTTTTAAAATATAATTGCTAAAATGTGTCTTTTAAATAAATTTACAATCCTATATCTAAAGCTTAGAGCACGTAATATGGCAGTGCATTTTATTTATTTATTTGTTTCAAAAAATTATGCCCATAAGCATATGTTTAAATAAAATTATATATTTACTAAAAATTATATAACATGTATATTACATTTAAAATTAGTAGTTGTGCCCCGCATTGTCGGGATATTTGCTCAATTAGTAGGTATTTTATCACCAACACTTTAATAATGCATTTCTCTTATTATCATAATAATGACGAAATAAAATCTAATCAAATGATTTGGTCACTTGATAATCATCAAACTCAAATAGTTTCCATTCAATCTCTATAAATTTCTATCAATTCTGTAATTTATTAACCTCATTCCAATATTTAAATAAAAAAATACAAAATAACCATTAATTGTAATTATAGAGATAACAAGAGTTCTTCGGAACTTGAATTCAATAAAACCATTGATGCATCATGCATCCAAAACAATTAAATTATAATAATAAGGTTAATAGCTGGTTCATATTAATGACAAACATATGCATCTTTTAGCCATATGCTTTTTCTTGGAGACTGGATCGAACATGTGAAAGTCCACGCCAATCAACGTCCATACACAAACATATATCTGTAATAGTACTGTTGATTTTATTTTTTTTATGAAGAAGACTTTGATCCCCTGCCCTTAGCACAAGTACCAGTATATATATATATATATTATATTTGTTTTTTCTTCGAAACTCGATGGAACATGTTGAAGTCCACACCCACCAATATATCTGTAATATATGGCGCTGTTGATTTGATTTTTTATGAAGAAGACTTTGAGCCCCCACCCCTTAGAACAATTATGTCCTGAATTTGTCTCAATTACCTTTTTGTCCTTAATTTAAAAAAATAAAGAATTAGACCAGCAATCCTTTCACCCGCGATGCCCGGAGGAAATCCAGCCATTATATAAGTTAAAAACGCAATTAAATGAAAGACTTCGTGACAACTTGTATATGATCACTAACATAAAAATCCAGCCATGGTTACATAATTTTGTTGTTAAAATTAAGAGATGTGAATTTGAAGATTTTATATCTAAAAGGTATAAAATTCACTTCTAGTCTAAAATAGTTGTTTAAGATTGGTTTCAGAGGTTGAATTTTGAGTTTAGAGGGTTTTGAGGAGTGTGAATGTATTTTTTGGCGACAAAAACCGAAAAATATGGATTTTTTGTGGTGATCGGTTGTTTATGCCGAAATTTGGTCAATTCCATATTCTGGCTGCCTTGCAAAATCCAACGACAAAGAGACAAGATGCAGTTTGCTACCTGAACTTCCATGTCCTTTAGTTTTACAAACTATTCAATTTGGTTATCAAACTTTCGATTGCTTTTGATAAACCCATAATCTAAATTTTTACATTTCGAAAGTAAAATCGATTGTTTATGCTTCTTCTTCTTTTAGGTTGATTTGAAATTATTTTTGTAAAGTTTGGTGGTCGTTAACTATTGTTAATAAAATAATCTAAGATAAGTATTATTATTAATAATTGATTTGAATAAACTAGACATAAATCAGGTGTGAACTCTGCCTTATCAGCAAGCAAACAGTCATAAATAGTGGATAGCTGACGGGATGTACTTTTATCCCATAAAATATGGAAAACTAGAAACAACACAAGGGCTACTGCAGTGGTGGTCAAGTTTTGCCTGTGTTAATTGTAACTTGGTCCCCGTAGTTTATGAAAGTAGAATAATTAATTCTTATGTATTAAAAAAATTAAAAAGTAATTAATATTGCTATTAATTGTGGCTAAAAAATTCAAAACAATCTATGAAAAAAAATAGAGAAGGAAACTACAGAAATTGTAGAGTTCAATTAAAACAAGGATTGCTATTAATCGTGGCTAAAAAAGTTTCAAAAAGTAGTGAAGGAAACAATAGAAATTGTAGAGTTCAATTAAAACAAGGATTTTAACACTTTTGACCAAAATTAAAAGAAACAAACAAGCTAAAACCGTATTTTATTTATTCTCCTCCTAAAAATAGGAGTGCATATATTCCAAGTGATATTTTCATTACCGAAATTATTTTTTTTAAAAAAAAAAACCATATGGAGTTGGGCTTTTCGTCATACAATTTTAATAATGAAGTGAGTTGTTTGATATTTAAGGCGAGGAAGAGCATGTGGTTGATACCATATGGATGGTTTATCATGAAAAATTGTCATGACAGTGGTGCTCATATGTAGTGCGAGGGAGAGATTTTCCATCTTTATATTTTTTTTAATTAAAAAATATCAATTTAACCTCAAACTTATAAAAAGTCTTTTTGTTAATGCTCATTAATATTTTTGTCAAATTTTCTTCAAATTAATATCATCTAGTGTATAAATATGCACATGGTACTAAAAATTTTAATGTCCATTAATTTTTTTGTCGATTTTTTAAATCAATACTACAAGATCCTCTAATGTCATTAAACTCATATTTGATGTGGGAGAGAGATCATCTTTTTTCCCATTTTTTTTTTCAAATGTCTTAATTTAGTCTCCAACCTATATATTTTTCTAAAAAAGAAAGAATGAAAGAAAGAAATAATATAAGTTCATGTTGCCTGTTTCCTTTTTTTTTTTTTCCTTGTTTATTGTTCTCTTCTGAAAGGTTTCTGATGAGATAAAACTAGTTTTCGTTATTCACTGAGTTAAATACTGCTCGCTTTCTTTCAATTTTCTAAATTTTAAAAATTATTTGTAATTCAAACATTTTCATTGTTTTTTATTTGTAACCACGTAATGATTTTGAACCATTGGATTAATAGATTCCATAATGCCCCGCACTCATCTAATGGCCAAGGTTTTATATATAATAACCAAAAAAGAATCACCATTAATTGCTCCAAATCTTGGTTCTCAAGTCTAATATCAATTAATAAAACTATTTTATGTATAAACGTAAAAGCACAAAAAAGAAAACAAACAAGAATAATAATTTTTTCAAGAAAAACAATAATGGGGTGGAAAGTTTCTGGCCCATCGGAATACCTAGCTGGTTGAGGTATTTCATTGGCATTTCGCCCTATATTCAATGATCAATACAACATGAAATTTTCCTATAATTCCACATTGCCTCACCCAGCAGACAAAAGAAAATTGTCTGTTAGAAATTCTTCCCTTTTAGATTAAACTAGTTAGATATCCATGTTTAACTATAATCGGATAACCGTTATATACATAAAGTCAACGATTCATACTATATAGTATGGATAAAAATCTTATTTATAAATCAATTTTATTTATTGAGCAAAATCATTTGATTTATATATATTTATTAACAAAATAATCAATAATATTAGTATAAAAAATACGATGTGATCGGATAACCGTTATATACATAAAGTCAACGATTCATATAATATAATACGGATAAAAATCTTATTTCTCGTAATTAATATAAATCAATTTTATTTGCTTGAGCAAAATCATTTGATTTATATATATTTATTAACAAAATATTTAATAATATTAGTATAAAAATTATATTTGAATAATTGAAAGGTTCTTCTAAAACATCATTTCAATTATTTTATTTAAAAAATATTGATTTTAGAAAATAAAAAGGAATAAATAATTAATAATTAATGTTATATATATATATTGAGATTCAAAATATATAGTATAAACAAATTTTTTTAAAAAAAACTTATAAGCTATATGGAATGTATTAAAATCAATAAATTGAAATAAAAATTATTACAAAATTGGTTTTCATAAATTCTTAATTTACGATGAAAGAGATTCTTGAATTGCAAATTAAATTATAAATTAATTCATCTCATTTTGAGAAATGAATAGGTTTCAAAAATAAATTATTAAATTTTTTAATCATTATTCATCACGAATAATTTATTTTTTTTATATAAAATGTCTTTTTTCATATTTTACTTATTTTTTTCTAAGATCATTTTTTTAATCTTCCAATTTACCATTTTCTTAATTCTACATTGCAGTTCTAAAAAGTAAAAAGAAATGAGGTCTCTAGTTATCACTTTATGAATCATTGAAATTTATTTGCACCCCTTTCTTTCCAATTCTTTATCTCAAAACCATCTCGACCTCCCTCTCGCTGCATTTATTTTTATCTTCCTCCTTTCTTTATTCACCCACATTAATCTATACAATTACCCTAAAATGAATAAGAATCACTAAAATAACCTAACATAAGATTTCGTGGTCTCTTTATACAATACTAAAATACTTTTAATTGGATGAGATAATTTTCTTTAAAAAAATAAAATGTCCTTTTTTATATTTTACTTATTTTTTTGTTTTTTTCTATTTCGTAAAACAAACAATAAAAATAGTAAAATGGTAAAAGTGATCCAAAAAAAGTTTTCAAACCAAAGAGACTAATTAATTTATTTCTCAAAGAATTATTTTTTGTTTTTTTCTATTTCTTAAAAAAAAAATAGTAAAATGGTAAAAATGACAACAAAAAAAATTAGTTTTCAAACCAAAAGGACTAATTAATTTATTTCTCAAAGAAAGAGGGATCAAGAAGCAACAAAGAAATGTATAAATAGGGACATTGGGTGAAGAGCTACATTAAGTGAATAGTCTCACCTTCTATTTTTTAAAATAAAAAATAAAAATAGTAAAATGGTAAAAATGACAAAAAAAATTAGTTTTCAAACCAAAATGACTAATTAATTTATTTCTCAAAGAAAGAGGGACCAAGAAGCAACAAAGAATGTATAAATAGGGACATTGGGTGAAGAGTTACATTAAGTGAATAGTCTCATCTTGATTTCTTTTAGTTTGTTTTACTAGCATATATATTGCGCGTTGTCATGGAGTGTTCTATACAACATTCTTATGTGTTCATTCATATAAAATTTAAAATTTTAAAATAATTATTTAAAAGAATTATAAGAAAAAAATTTAAAAAAGAAACCAAAACATATATCTCATATTTTGCTGCGAGTTAGCTAAACGAAAAGTCCGCAAAGTTGAATAATATAATGTTGCTAATTAGATGTTGTTTAACATGAATATGTATTTTATTAAAAATATGTATAATAACTGATAATTAAAATAATGATATAGTAGTTTTTTAAATTTTAAATGATTAATTTTTATCATATATTTTTCATTTGTAATTTATTAATGAGATAGAGAAACTATCCAAAACAAGAAGAAAATTTTTTTTTTGTCAAATCAAGAATTTGGCAAAAAAAAAAAAAACAAAATAGAGATAAAATCACACACTATAAAAATTAAATGATCAAAATAAAGTAAAGATCATAATAGAATGATCAAAATAAATAAAAACTTTCACCAAAAGCAAGAGAAAAAAAAGTTACAAATAATAAGACTAAAAAAAATTCATTATGCATGAGGTAGGAACAAAAGTAAAACATGATAGAATTTTAATTAAAAAAAATTCACAAAATAAGAACCAAAACAGAAAATATTTTTCTACTAAATGCAAATAAATAAATAAATAATAAAACTTAGAATAGTGAAATTGTGTTTAATTTTAGTATGGAAAGAATAATAATCAAATATAATAAAAATTTAATGATCAAAATAAAAGAAAGATCACAAATAAAAACTAAAACATAACAAAAAGTTTTACTAAAAGTGAAAAATAGTTCCTTATAGGGAAAAATCAAATATAATAAAAATTTAATGATCAAAATAAAAAATAATTACAAAACAGAGACTAAAATAAAAATAAAATTATACTAAATTCAATGACCAAAATAAAGAAACAAATCACCAAAAAAAAATTATAATAGAAAAAAGTTTCACTAAAAGCCAAAAAAAAAAAAAAGGCTTAGGATAGTAAACTTTATTTAGTTTTGGTATAGTAAGGATAAAAATCAAACACGATAAAACTTTAGTAGTTAAAATAAAAACATATCATAAAATAGGAATTAAAAAAACATAAATTTTTACTAAAAGCCAAAAAAAATATTTATTATAGGAACAAAAATTAAATATAATAAAATTTTTATTTTTATTATTAGGATAAAATTCAAATACAATAAAATTTTAATGATCAAAATAAAAAAAAGATCACAAAATAAGGATCAAAATAAAAATAAAGTTATATAAAAGCTAAAAAGGGCCTTGGCTACAATAAAAACATATCACAAGATAAAATATATATCAAATAAAAATATTTATTATTAGGATAAAATTCAAATATAATAAAATTTTGATGACCAAAATAAAAATAAAGTGATCTAAAAGCTAAAAAGGCCTTGCTGCAGAAATTGGAAAAAAGAAAAAAACAAGAGTGAACAGTGAATGAACAGTGAATTATTATTAGGATAAAATGTAAATATAATAAAATTTTAATGACCAAAATAAAAAAAATCATAAAATAAGGGATAAAATAAAAATAAAGTTTTATAAAAAGCTAAAAAGGCCTTGCTACAGCAACTAAAAGAAAAAAAAAAAAAAGTTAACAGTCAATGAAGAGTGAAATTGCTACAGTGTTTTTTGGTTTTCTATTAGTTTTATTTGTATGCATTGCATTGTATTTGTATTTGTATTTGTATGTATTGCATTTGTAATAATAATTATAATACTTCTTCCAAGTGACTCTCTGTTTCTCGCGTCCAGCTCTTCCAAGTTGTTCAAGGAACGCCTTCAACCAAATCATCATCTTCACTCGGTCCATCAAAGCCCAATAACAATGCAGCAAATTCAGCACGATTGTCATGTTGACTTTAAAGCCCACACATCATGCTTCAATGGCACCACCCAGGCCCATACTCTCAATAAAGTGAGCTTTTTAATATTTAAGGTGAGGAAGAGCATGTGGTGTTTACAATTTTATAATAGATGAATTTGTGAGTGCGATGGTGGTGATCAATGATGGTTCATATCATATGGATGGTTTATAATCATGTCATCGTTGGGCTCATATTTATTGTGAGGGAGAGATTTTCCATATTTATATTCTTTTTAATTAAAAAAGCTCACTTTAACCTCAAACTTATATATTTATTCTTAATTGAATTTATTAATTAGATACTAAATGTTTCAAAAAAAAAAAAAATTCAATCAAGTCTTTTTTTTAATGCTCATCAATAATTTTTGTCAAATTTTCTTCAAATTAATATCATTCAGTGCATAAACATGCACATGATACTAAAATTTTTAATGTCCATTAATTTTTTTGGTCGATTTTTTAAATCGTTACTACAGGGTCCTCTGATGTCATTAAACTCATATTCCATGTGGGAGAGAGATGATCTGTTTTTCGTTTTTTTTTTTCAAATATCTTAATTTAGTCTCCAACCTATATATTTTTCTTAAAAAAAGAAAGAATGAATGAAAGAAAGAAAGAAATAATATAAGTTCATGTTGCCTGTTTTTTTTTTTCCTTGTTTATTCTTCTCTTCTGAAAGGTGTCTGATGAGATAAAACTATTTCTCATTATTCACTGATTAAATACTGCTCGTTTTCTTTCAATTTTCTATATTTTAAAATTTGTTTCTAATTTAAACATTTTCATTCTTTTTTATTTGTAACCACGTACACCTTTCAAATGATTTTGAACCATTGGATTAATAGATTCCATAATGCCCCGCACTCATCTAATGGCTAAGGTTTTATATATAATAACCAAAAAAGAATCACCATTAATTGCTCCAAATCTTGGTTCTCAAGTCTAATATCAATTAATAAAACTATGTTATATATAAACATAAAAGCACAAAAAAGAAAACAAACAAGAATAACAGTTTTTTTCAAGAAAAACAATAATGGGGTGGAAAGTTTCTGACCCATCGGAATACCTAGCTGAATATTCGATGATCAATACAGCATGAAATTTTCCTATAATTCCACATTTCCTCACCCAGCAGACAAAAGAAAATTGTCTGTTAGAAATTCAGCCCTTCTAGATTAAACACTTCTTCCAATGACTCACAGTTTCTCGCATCCAGCTCCTCCAAGTTGTTCAAGGAAGGTCCTTCATCCAAATCAGCATCTTCACTCGGTCCATCAAAGCCCAATAACAATGCAGCAAATTCAGCACAATTGTGACTTCTGTCCAGCCAAGCAAAGTTGCCTCCAAAGGCTACAAATCATGCAGCCATTCCACCACACGGGCCCTCACTGTCCAGCCTAGCCATGTTGCCTTTCAAGCACACACGTCATGCATCCATTGCACCACCCAGGCCCATACTTTCCAGTCCAAAAGCGTTGTCCTCAAAGCCCACAAATCCCGTCCAACGCAAATGCATACACGATTCTGCAGCAATTCTTTCGTTGCTGAATATCAGACCTACTCCAGTACGCGCAAGCAACCCAGTCTTCTCTCATCCAGAGCTGTTATACAGTTCATCTTCGTTATTGAGTGCTTTGATTTCAACAGCAGTGGAAATCATGTCCTTATAGGGTAATTGTTTTTTGTTTGGCTCTCCTTATATTGTTTGCCTTTTTTTCTTTTCAACAGAATTTAGTGGTTGGGACCAATATCAATACATTCTTTTTTATTTCCTCAGTAAGCTTCAGAAATCAGTGGCAGACCTGGAAAAACTTCACAAAGGAAAAAATGGTGCTAATTTCGTCATACCGTGTCGCCATGGTCGTGAGAAGGTGCGAATTCTTTCTAGGCATAGCATCTAATGTACAATTTTATTGTCTTTTCTAATTGCACTTTGCCTATTAGGTGCTGAAAGATTCAGCTGTTTGTGGATCGATTATATTTCGAGTGGCTTTGAGCTAAATTTTATGGTTGCTGCTGACTTTACCGGTAAATAACCTTTGATTGCCTTGTTATTGACACTGCTTCTTCCCCTACCCTTTTTCCACTTTAGTTTGATATCTGGCTAATGCATTGGGTATTCATTTTTTCAGCTTCAAATGGAAACCCTCACAATCCAAATTCTTTGCACTACATACATCCTTCAGGCCGGTTAAATTCTTACCAGCAGTTGAGGCTCTGGTATTCTGTTGCTCTTATGATGGGTAGTAGTTATTCTCTAGAGATTTTATAATGGAGATATATTAGGACGATAACACTACATGTACAATTTGTTGGCCTACCAAAATGGTTTTGAACTGTTCCATCCTTCAAGATGTTCAAAATTTTGTAATTTCAAACTGCTAAGTATTCGGTTTGATGATTGTAGTTTTGTCTGGAAATTTTTTGGTCTTTTAATTATTAAAACCAACCAGAACGACACACAACTTATTGATGGAAATAATACGAATAATGCATACAAACTTCACCACCAAAAAAATAAAATAAAATAAAATTATATGGACTACAGAATGGTCAAGAAAATGGTCCAAACGTTACTTTTATTATTCTGTTCTTATATATTCAGGTTTGCAATACAAAATTGAGCCAAAGACAAACTTTTGTTTTATTTCCATACTGAACTGAATCAAATTATATGAAGTGCACAAGTTTTGTTCAGTTACTCAGTTTGAACCGAATAATGCCATCTCCTAATGATAAAGCAGCTTTGGTTGCTCAAGTTAAGATGAGATGTTATGTGCCAAATATTTTTAAGTGGGTGTAGAATGAACTTCAAATATATATATTTTTTCCAGTTTGGACTTCCTTTTGCTATTTAGAAGAAAATATCATCATCAATGAATTAGCTGGAACATTATCTCGTTGTTTTAACTTGAATGGCAGTGCAAGCTTTGAGGTAAGAAGATAATCGCAACCCATTGCAATGCTTGATTATCCATACAGTTGTTGAATTGGTTTGCATGTATAAGCTGGTTTCTCTAAAGCTAACACAATGTTTCTTTTTCCTTGTTTTATTTTCCTAAGTTTTAATGACAAAGTCGGTAGATATTTGTTGACTTTTTGCTTTGTCATCCAATAGTTTTTTATTTTTGCATACTAATGTTCTTTCCTTATGATTCCTAAGCTTAATTCTTATTAAAATTTATCAGCACATTATCATTTAGACTGTCAGTGCTAGATAGCGTTGCTCATTGCCTGGAATCTTTTTATTGATGGCATGGCCCCCCTCCTTTTGGGAAATAATTCTTCATAGTAGCCCATGAATAGGTATATTTACTACAATCGGCAATTTCACAAGCCCTTTAACGATATTTAACAGGTTGAGGGCGTTGAAGGCATCATGGCTGCTTGTGCAACTGCTCTACACAATGTTTCTCTTTCTGGACCCACTTTATTTGGCCAGGTGATCAACATGGCAGCACAAATTGCTGGGCAGGAGTCTATCTCATACAACAATGGCAAGTATTTTGTCTTGCTCATTATAACAGTAAAGTGAACTAGAACCTCGTTTTTCTTTTTTCTTCTGTTTGCCTTTACGTAGTAATAAATAACTCGTCACCTTTCCTAGGATGGAGTCATCACAGATATGCAGGAAACTAAAGATGCTTTGGCGAAGGCATCTGATCTCCTCTATCAATTCTTATAGTTGGAGTAGGAGGTGCAGACTTCAAACAAATGGAGATTTGCTTGTCTCTTCTTCAGTAATCTGTACACCATAATATAAATTTGCTTTATTTGTGGAACAATTTTGAACTTTTGGCAGAGCACTCATCTGCACCCATTAGAAATCTCAACATCAAAATGAAAATGCTCTAAACCTTGTCCCAATGCATGAAATGAACAGTGAGTATAATTAATGCCGCCATTTTTTTATCCCTGAAAATTTATCTGAGTGAACCAAAAGCTCTTGTAATGATATAAGTTCTGTTATCTTGATGGGACAGACTGACAGATTAAAATTTGCTCTAAATTGTTGGATATAACTCAAAAGGCCTAATGTACTGCCTCATGCTTTTAAAACTGACTCAAAACTGCTCACTCCATTTCTGTTTTGAACATGATCACATGATGGTTGAGTTCCTTTGCAATTAATTAAAGGTCGGTTGACTGAATGCAATTCATTGCTGCCTTGTTTATAAAGAATGTTGGATGGTGGTAGGCAATATCTAGAAACCACAATTGGCAGTCCGTAGCGAGATGCTAACTGTCTGGTGGTGAAAGATCATATGATTGACATCATAAAATCAATCACTTTTGAAGTATGAAATAAAGGCTTAACGATGATGGCTCGTTGCTGCCTTGATCACAGTTGAGCTGTGCACGCAGGCTCACACACCCACCCACACACAAACTGACTAGCCACTCTTACATACCCTATTATGTTGAGAGTTTGCTTCTAACATAGCTGCCTTGATCATATATTTTGCTTTTATCTTTGAAAGCTGAGTGCTCCTCTTTGACCTAGTTGAGGCTGCAGTTCATGCTTGAATGCAAGTGACCCTCCAAAACTTGAACTGTTAGCAATTTCATGTTTTGACCTTTTGGACTATAAGTTCAAAAGGTGTTACCAATTGATCTCTTTTGTAATTTATTTTTGTCTAACCTCTTTATTCTTGAAAGTTCAACTACATGCTCACTGTGCTTTGAACAGGTGGACAGATTTCTGTCGTTCAAGCTCTTTTGGAAGAGCTGCCTGGACAGTCTTTGACCTGTTTCATGTCTAGAGATATCAAACCACATGCTCGTCACATTTGCTAGAGAGCATTCTTCTCTGGAATCATATCGAAATTCCTCATATATTGCACATATTAAGGGTAAACCGAAGGTTGTTCATATTAAGAAGTGAAGATTGACATACTAGGAAATTAATTTCCACTTCTTTTCTGGTAGAGAGGGGAGACTCACTTGCCCCTTTACCACTAGATAAAGATGTGATAGTTTAATTTTAGAAGTTGGCTGGGCACAATCCCCTTGTGTATGTGATGAAGTCTTAAAAGTATCAAAATTATTCAATTGTTATTTAATTCTATGATTTTTTTTTCTCGTGCACAATGTGAAGATGTATGCTCTTTTTTTTCATATACAGAAATAGTAATTTTTAGCTGCAAATGATATTACTGCTCTGTCTAATTCTTTTTAGCTGCAAATGAACTACTGCACTCTAATTCTACTCGTTTCATCCTAGAAACTTGCCGGCATTGTTCAACATCGTGTCCTTTAGGCATTGGCTCTTAGCCTCTTACCCTGTTGCTAGTGAGCAAAACCTGCCAGGCTATATTGCTTGATTTGAAGGATGGATTCCAAAAATTTTCATTCCGTATCAGGTGACAGTGAGACTCCATCATCAACCAGATATGATGAGAAACAATCTTGAAACTAACAGAAAACAGGGAATCCAGGATTATAATTATTTTCTTACAGAGATTGACGAGAATTACTTAACAGGAAAAATGGACAAGAACTGAAGCCAAAGTGACTTGCAGTCTGTTCTAAAATTCTGTATAAAAATCTTTCAGCCTTGGTATAAATTGCTTATATTGTTGTTCAAAAACTGACTCGAAAATATCAAGGGTTAAAACAAAGGAAAAAAGAGTTGTGTCATTAAACCTATTTTGAGATGTTAAAATCAAAATTGTCTGCTGTTCTTTCTACACTGCTTCATATTGCATTTTTTTATATCACAACATTGCCACTATACAAGATTATCTCTCTATTTTGAGTTCAGAAAGTACCCATATCTGTATAAGTATCATAATTAATAAGCAAAATATTTTACGATAAAAACCGATGCTTCCTTTAGCAAATGTAGAAATCAAAGAAGCTAATGCTTGTTTTCATTACTGCTTCCATGGAGGATGGCTAAATAGGACAAAGAAGCCAAAATAATTACAAGGCTTGGAAGATCTTATAGATTATTGCTTTCAGGTTGTATGAAGTCGATGGATTGTCTCTAGACGCTTGGAGATTAATACCTGTCCTTTCTATATTTTAGTTACACTAAACTGCTGTTGTCCTAAGATGACAAAGATCATTATTAATGTTTAAGTAAACCTTGGGGGGGGGGGATACCCATTTTTAAAGACCATGGATCGAGGGACCTCTGCTGCTTAATACGCCAAACCATAAAAACTCAACTGCACAAATTAACGCCATGAGGTATTTTTGTCAAAAATCAATACCACATGGACCTTTAATTAATATCATTAAATCTAATTTGATGTAAGGGAGAAATAATATGTTTTTCCATCTTTATTTTTTGTTTGGAGAGCCTTAATTTAGTACCAAACCTATATATTCTTTCAGGAAAAAAAAAAAAAGAAGAAGAAGAAGAAGTAGAAGGGAACAAAGAAAGAAGGAAATAATACAAGATCATGCATGTTGCCTGTTTCTTCTTTTTCTTTTTCTTGTTTATTGTTCGCTTTGAAAACTATTTTTGATCCTCCAACGAGTGAAATATTGCTCATTTTATTGTAACTTGGCGTGATTCAAACTCTAGCTCAGCCTCCCTTTGTAACCAGAAAATTAAGCCTGCATAACTGTGTGCAAGTCATCTTTATGTAGAGAAGTTTTACTCGATAAGCAACACAATAGGAAATTTTCCTATAATTCCACATTTCCTCACCCAGCAAAAAAAAAAAAAAAAAAAAAAGAATATTATCTATTAGAAATTTCCCGCAAAGAATATGGGAGCTCCCAAGTAAACATGTATTTGTGCTCTTGTCAGTTGTTATTTATTCAAATGAATATTTGACAGAAAGGCTGAAAATGTTATTCAACATTAAGATCCAAGCACAACAGCTAAAATTCGCACAAAGATGAACCTTTCTGTCAAATTCAAACTCTTAAAGAGAACATCATACATATGAAACAAATACAGGGCGCTATAATGGGGCCCTTAATGCGTCGCTGTAGTACTCTCTTGAAGCAGTAGTGTCTTTTTAAAAGCACTAAGCAAACCACAATAAAGGGTAACCGGTATAGATTATTCACAAACTGAACGAAGTAGAGATGATCTGCTCTGTTTCTCTAATTTAGTACATAAAACCACCAAATTGCAGCTTTTCTTTTGCATGTGAAGGTCATTCCTCTTCAGAATCTTGAGTGTTCTGCAATCATAAGTTACCATAAATGATTAAAGTCATTATTCAAATGTAGTCCAGCAAGAAAACATGACCGGTTCTTGGCATGTGACAAAGGTCATTTTCTCTAAAATTAATGAAATGAGAATGGTGAATTATTGTTAGCAAAAAAGTTGCAATGGTTAAGCACATCAAAACTTTACTACATAGGTTGCTTTGAACTGATTTTCTTCCAATAATTTTACTAATTTTTTCATCAATTAAACCTTACTTTATTTTCTAATTATCGTTTATCATATTGACCAATGGAAAGACAAGGGTGAATGTCCCAAGGAGTTAATGTAACTTACCCAAGTTATCTAATGAATGAGTTATTGTTACTTTCTAGCCACATGGTAAGATAGAGTGGGAAAATAAAAGCTGAAATGGTGAATTCAATGCATACCACTTCTGTATACAATTGCTGTATGGTTTTATTAAGGTCACCATTCCACTACCCTTTCTGTTTTTCTCCTGTTAGCCACAATACTCTTTGCAGCTTTGGTGCGCTTAAGACTCGTTGAGAAAATGTCTCCATTTTAGGGCACTGTTTCACAATGACTTCTGTCAAAGATGGGAATTTGAAGGTGAAATTTGCTGAGCAGAAGCTAGTGAGGCTTGCTAAACAATCCAGTCTCATACTTTCCAATTTCCTGAAAATAATCTCATTTTCTAATTCATCTCCCTCATTTGCTACAATCTCTGTTATCACCTCGCATTCTCTTACAGTCATTGCAGTGAGTTGCACAAGACTTCTGGATGCTATTAAATATATCAATCCTTTGCATTGCCAAACATCCAGCGATCTTAGATTTTGGAATGATGCGGTAGATGGTGCTAAATTGGTCAAACTGTAGCATCTCCATGCTTCTAACTTTTCAAGATTTTTAATGAGTTGGTCCACTAGCAAACCTTGATTCCAAATACGCTCCAGATTGGGAAGCCAAACAAGTTTTAGGCATTTTATCCGTGCAAGTGTCATTGCATGTTTCTCCTCACCAACAAGTCCACTTGAGAACAGCTCTTTGAACAGACCATGTCTTACAACAAGTTTTTCCAGATTGTGGACTCTCTGAATTAGGAGATCAAACGGAAAAACTGCCGATTCCTCATGAAAGCATTGCAATTCGAGGACTGTTAGTTTGCGAAGGATGTCCACCGGAAACTGGCCTTGCCTTATGATTGTAGCTTCTTTGCTGCTTAATGATAATTCCAACAAGTTGGGAATGATCTGGAAATCAATCGAAAGAAATCAAGTTATAGATAGGTGAAAGCCAAAGGTGTATATAGCATTATAATTTACAGGTCTAGCTACTTCATCAGTTATAAACTATACTATAGGGTGTGAGGTTCCATCATTTGTAGATTTAGTTATGGACGCAGCTTTGTTTTTCAGTTGCTCGACAGTGGGAGATTTGGGAGGCTTGTTACCTTTTGAGTTTGCGTTGTTTTCCTGAGCTGCTATCAACTTGAGTCAAAATCTCCGTTTTTATAGCGTGGGAATAGGCTCATTTGTATAAAATTGTGATTGTCTTCTAATGTGTATCTAGGAGTGTATTGTTTTGGATGGGAGAAATTATCTTCTGCACTGAATGTTCTCCAAAGATTACATTTCTTGATGAATTCAGAAAATTTGCTTTTGTTGGGGGAAAAAGGAGAGTCAAAATTATGGAATAGTATTTGCGGCAGATCTGTCCTTGAATCTTATGTAATTGTTGTCCAAATATTTTGTCGAGTCAGACTACAGAAAACCTTCCCTAGATCTACAATTCAATTGGGAAAAACGTTTAAGATCTGCCAGAAAACAAAAATGAGGGAGAGGTGTGTTTCTATTTTTCATAGCTGGGTCTAGAATCAACTATTTTGTCATGAGGAAGAAAGAGCTTTTGGTTTCTTAAGAACCTAGAGATTTGGCACAATTCTTTTCCCCTGATGGAATCAAAACCTGTTGAAGGAAATGGAATGAGAAGCAATATAAGCCTATCAAGTATGTGAAGTAGAGTTCGAGTGGATAAATTGAAGACTTAAATCTTTTTTTTTTTTTTTAACAACTTATACATGCAATTAAGAGCAATATTTGATGGGGGCAAACTATGTATTCGTGAAGAAATGCAATGCCATGTTCTATGTTAAATACATCTAGTGCTCTACAAGACGGATTGCTTTAAGACCCACACAAATTTCCCGGTTGAAGCTACCAAATCCAAAATTAACAAAAATATGTGTTACATTAAGCAAATCAGCACAACATGACCTACGCAGTTAGTTTTCTTAAAAAAGGAAAAGGAAAGAAAATTAGATAGTTAAAATAGAGTTTAGATCCATACCTTAATAAAGGAGAAGAGTGGTTGGTGAACTTGGATTTCAAGCTGTTTCTCCCTACACGGCGGTCCTTCTAAGGTTTGAAGTTCTGAATCAAATACTGTCATTTTGTCACAATGAAACACTTTCAGCTTTTCCAGCGTCGACAATTCTAGAGTATGTCTTCCTGGATAGAATCTCTTGAGCTCTGGTAACCTCCAAAATTGAAGAGAGGTTATTTTTGGAAACACAAAGTTCAGATCTTCTTCCACTCCATCCTCTTTGGCAACAATTTCCTCTAGGATCCCACAAAAAGATATATCAAGCACTTCAAGTTGTAGAAGATCTAGGGCAACAAAAGCTGGGAATAGATTCTGTAGACTTGGACATTTCGAAACAATCACTTAGTGAAGGTTTTGAAAGGAAAGAATTTCTTGGGGATTCCCATTCCACACGTTCTTCAAATTTGGTAGATTCTGTACGTTCATTCTTCTCAATTGAGTGGTTGTTGTAGCGTGTGTTCCTTCTTCTAGTTCATCACAATCACTAATGACCAAATTCTCTAGATTCCGAAAACTTCTGAGCATATTGAGTGGAAAGATTTTTATTAATTTTTTTCCATGACCAACCTCCAGTGCTTTTAGTTTGCAAAAGGAATCTGAATGGAGTTTATTATGCCATATCATCTTCAAATTATTCATGCCAATAATTACCAATTTTTCCAAGTTAAAGAATAGAACCTGCAAAATTTATTACACATTGTTAGTATTTTACCTAAATAAACTAATTTTTGACGTGGACAAACAGAGGCTAGATTCTGATTGGATAAACAAAAAATAAGAGTCAGGTTAAAGAAGACGAAAGGAAAGTGAACTCACATTGTCATCGAAAAGTGTTGATTTTGTATTTGCAGTTACAGAGTTGGAGATAAACGTCTCCATTGCATGGCAGTTCTATATCTGCAACTCCTTCAAGAAAGGACATATGATTAAGTTACTGGTGCAGAATCTTATTAAGTTTGGAAGACCACAAAGCTTGAGGAAACCCAGTTTAGGAAACGCCACCTCCCTCCCAATTGCTCCTTCCCTGGCTATTATTTCTTCCATGAGATTGCAATCGCATATCTCAAGCCTTTCCAAGCGTGCAAGGCTTTTAACCATAGAAGAAGTGAATAAATATTTTAATTTCCCACATCCCTCCACACTCAATTTCGTTAATTTTTGAAAGTAAGAAAACAGATCTATAGATTGGTCACTCCATACGAACTAAAAACTAAAACGTGTAGGTAGTTCACTGTTCAAAAGAACAGTGAATGAACAGTAAACTTATCACTACTGTTCATTTGAGCAGTTTTTTTTTTTTTTCACTATAAGTTTTTTTTCCTTAGTTCTTAGTTAATTTTTACATTATTTTGTTTTTTTTTTGTAATTTTCACTCTTAGTTTTTTCCTTTATTTTTTTTTAATTTTCAAATTATTTCATTTTGATCCCAAAAAATTTTAAAATAAAAATTTTAATCTCTAATTGATGCATTATATGTCTTTTCTTTTTTATTTATTTATTTTTTTGCTTTTTTATAACTTTATGTTTTTTTATTTGATTGAGTATTAAAATTTTTAAAAAATCGATCGTTATTTTTTTTAGACAAGCTGATAATTATATAATATATATAAATCAAATGTATATAATTTAAAAATCACCACCTCACAATATACTCGTTCACTCTTTTTTTACCCTCACAACGCACTATTCACTCTTATCTTCTTCTTCTTTTCTTTTTTTCTATGATTTTCAAATTATTTCATTTTGATCCCTAAAATTTTAAAATAAAAATTTTAATCTCTATCCGATGCATTATATGCCTTTTTTAAAAAAAAAACTTTTTTTTCATCAATTCATGTTTTTTTATTTAATAGGATGTTAAAATTTTAAAAAATCAATCGTTGCTTTTTTCACATAAACTCGACGATTATATAATATATTTAGATCATATGCATATACTTAAAAAAAAAAAAATCTTTTCATCAATATTAAATAAGAATAAAATTTTATTTTTTCACTTGTTAATTTTTATGCAAATCTATACATTGATAATAACTTTATTTTTTCTATATATTCTCATAAAACAACATATTTTTAAAGTTTTTATTTTTATGATAATATTGTTCTCCCCCTCACAATGTACTGTTCACTTTTTTTCTTACCCTCACTATATATTATTCACTCCTTATTTTTACCCTCACAATGTTCTATTCACTCTTAGGTTTTTTATTTTTATTTTTAACAATTTTTCACTCTTAGTTTTTTATCTTTTTTCTTAGGTTTTTTTTTTCAAATTATTTCGTTTTGATTCTTGAAATTTTAAAATAAAAATTTTAATCCCTAACCGATGCACTACATGCCTTTTTTTTTCTTTGGTTTTTTTTAATCAATTTATGTTCTTTTTATTTGATTGGGTGTTAAAATTTTTAAAAAAATTAATCGTTACTTTTTTTTACACAAACTAATGATTATATAATATGTATAGATTAAATATATGAACTTTTAAAAAATAATCTTCCCATCAACATTAAATAAGAAAAAATTCTATTTGTTTTATTGGTTAAGTTTTATGCAAGTCTATACATTAATTTTAACTTTATTTTTTGGACATATTCTTATAAAACAATATATTTTCAAAGTATTTATTTTTAAATTCTTAATTAATATATTAGGTTCAAATTATATATTACAATATTTATTTAGGAATACCTAAATAAAGAAAAATAAATCATGTTTTTTTAAGTAGAAATTATATGAAAAACAAAAAATAGTAAGAATTAAATAAAAAATTATAAAATTTTAAAATGATTTTGTTCTATCTACCTGTTGCGTTGTGTGGATAATTTCAAAAATTAATTTTCTCATCAGCATTAAATAAGAATTTTTTTTCCATTTGTTAGTTTTTATAAAAGTCTATTTATTAATTATAACTTTATTTTTTAATATAATATTATGAAAAAATATATTTTTAAATTTTTTAATTCTTGATAAACATTTTAGTTAAAATAAATCCACAAAAAAAAATGATTTATGTTTTTTTAAAAATTAATTATATATGAAATTATAATTAAAAAATTTTAAAATTTTAAAATGATTTTGTTCAACAATACTCACACAGCATAACGCAGGCACCTGTCTAGGCACCTGTCTAGTCTTCTCTATTCTGAGTGCAGACAGTTTCAAGTCTTCCAAGTCGGGGAAAACAATCTGCATACAAAAGATCGTCAACAATTTGGTGATTCAAAATAGTTGTTTAAGTGCACTCAAATACAAACTAACCTAATATTAACTTGCAATTAAATCTATCCGTTTTTAGTAAAATAAAATTATGGTGCAGATTAAAAAATATATATATCAGAATATGATATTAAATAAAAATAATTACTTTTAACTTCTTTTAGAACCGCATATTTTACTACAATTTTACTTATTTAAGAACTTTAAATTATTTATTTATTTAGAATTATGAAGATCTAAAAACCCAATATAATGGGTTTCACAACTAATTTAACGAATTTAATATTATTTAAAGATATTTCACACATCAACAAATTATTTTGAGGTGCATATTGTTTGACTATATTTTTCTAAACATTTGAGGGCTTTTCTCATATATTTTTTTTGTTTGGATTTTTTATGAATATGTGTATATATCTGCATAATTGCTTTTCTTCCAAACTAAAAGTTTATCAAAATGAGAAATTCTAAATAAATAAATAATTTAAAGTTCATAACTCTCTCTTAACCAAATGCGCTATATGGCCCAATGGGATTTGTCCTGAAAATAGTAACATTCTTTGATCACTATAGGTTTTAAGTATAATTTTTTTTTATGAATGTAAGTATATCGATTGAATTCACCAATTAGGCTTTTATTTAACTTCATTAAATCAGCACTGAATTTATGTATTATATTCTAAAAATTGAAAAAAATAAAAATAAATAACAAAACAACATTTCTTGCCATATTTAAGTTCTCTGAAATTTACAATGACCTACTTGTACTTGTTCATTATGGGAAAAAATAAAATATAGAAATTGAATTTTAAGATATTATAAAAACTTATAATTTGCGAATTAACTGATCCGTATATTTACCCTTCTGTTGAAAGCTGGCATGGGAGTCTCAAGCTCGTCCTCGGATATAATTTCAATATCGGACCTCGCCTTTGTCTGAGATGTGGAAGCTCCATTGACTTTTGAGCAAATGCTTGTCAGCTGGGGTAGGCCTTCTAATGTCAGCTTGCGCAGTGGACTCAGCTTTGGAAAAAATCAAATAACACAGGTTATTTTCACAGAAACGAAAAAAATAAAATAAAGAAAAAGGAAAACAACACGTAAAGAAACCTCTTAATTTCTTCTTTTTGAATTGGAATAACACAGACAACAGAAACAAAGAAAAAGTTGATTGAGAAACAAGCAGAAATGTTTTCCTTTCTGCTACGTACCCTGCTAGTTAACAGAATTAACTTAACAATACAGGAAAAAATGATGAAAGAAAAAATAACAAAAGATAGAGGTACTGGTAGAGGTTTCTCTTTCTTTTAGCAAAGATGTAGAGCAGCAGATCCAGAACGAAGGATTGATCACTACTATAACAAAGAATGGATGGCTAAATGAAATCCAAATAAACTGAGAACAAAAATGACGAATGATGTGAGTAGAGCTACAGGAGATAGAGAGAGAGTCTATGCAAGTCAAGCAAAGAAAAGTCAAGTATTTATGAGCAGAAATGAAAAATGGGGAGTAAATTATAAATTAGTTCTCTTTTGTTAAAACGTATTAAATATTCTTTTTAGTTTTATAATTGATTAATTGGTTCGCATATTTTTAAATTTATTTATAACTTTATAATTTTATTTTTTTCAATTTATTTTATTTTTTAATGAAAACAGATAAACATAAGTAAGAAATATGAAAAATTGATGATAAAAAATATATTTTTTAGAGCAACATAATATTAAGTTAATCATAATCAACATTGATAAATGAACTAGTTAATTAATTTTCAAAACAAGATAGAATATTTAATTGCTTTTGCAAAACTAGATGAACTAATTTATAATTTATTCATAAAATGGAAGTAAATTATTATTTGATCATTGGTTAAAAAAATTATTTTTTTAATATTATGAGTCTCTTTTAGCTTCACGTTACACTATGAGATAGCAATATCAGTATTTTTATATAAGTTTGTAACTTATTTTTTCTATTGATTATTCATGATGATTTAATTTTTTTTTCTAAAATTTTCTTCATTTCTAATTAAATTTTTAAAACCCACCGAGGGTAGAAAAAATTAAAATACATTTCATAAAGATAGTTTAGATATTTCACAAAAATTTTATAGACAACTTTGATCAAAAGACTAATTTATAATTTTAAAAATACAAAGACTAACTTTTAAAAATTAGGAAAAAATAAAACTGAAGAATGGAAAAAAATTAAATCTTAATATATTTATTTATTTCTTAAAAAAAATAAAAGTATTTATCTATTTATTAACATTTTAAAAAAATATTAATAATTCAAGGATATTTAAACTTATATAAAATGAAAATAACTAACAAATTAATTTTTTTAATAAATCTACGATGTATGTTCGATGATCTATGTCGGCTAGGATAGAAAGGAGGTACTCGTTATCCATGGAACCCTTGGAAAACTCATAAGTTCTTCACAAGCCACAGCTATAAACAAACTGCATTACAGATGCATGTTCGATGATCTATGTTCGGATGGCCATCAAGAGTCTTTAGCGTCATGTATTTCACCTTCTGATACACTGGATATAAGAAACTATGCCCTCTTCATTTTCAAGTAAAATTTCCAACGCTGCTCTTACAAAATGAGATGTGGATCTCTAGGTACAACAATTCATCCATTACAAGCCACCAAATGCACCTGCGCAATGGGGCAATCCTACAATATTTTGTCACTAGCAATAAACAATGTGGTACGGCGTGCTCCTTCGAGGCCATGGCCAGCCCTGTGCGAGCGGGTGAAACAATACAGCTGAGTTAACACCTAATTGGAGAATGGAGATATCTCAAGAACGCTTTGATTTCGTTTGCAAAAATGATGCTCTTGTTGATATCGGGAAAATGACCTCAAAAAGGTTGTGAAAGAACCCCTTGTCATACATGTTTTCCTTGGCACCCACCTGAGTATCTTCAAGGGGAGATCTCCGGAAAAAGGATTTGCATTTGCTCTCTGGACGCTTGGCTTCACTGCTCATCCCACTGATGCTTGCTTTAAGTGCTGCAGCACTAACCCTTGCTTCATTTAGCTTCCTTTGCCAGCTTATGTAATCATCCCACTTGAAGGTCTGTAATTCCAGCAAAAAGAAAAGATCATGCATTAAAACACGTTTCAGGATTACAGTATTAACCTAAGAATAAGATTCCAATACTGTGCACACTCGTTAAAATGGAAAAAAAAAATTGTGCCCAAATGGAGAGACAGATGACTTTATGGTTGCCGGTAAATACCGCAGAGAAATTTAAACAGCATAACCAACTAATTGGTGTCATCATATTAAGAGTTGAACAGATGCGAAAATTACCACGGCTCTCCAAAGTGGAAATTGCAAGTTCAACCCCAACCTCCCCGCAATATCTTTTAAAATAATAGCAAGGAATTCATGCAATTTTCAACATCCTTGGTTGATTTTAGCCCTTCTAAAACCCACTGCCCATGCTCCCAATGCGCCCATCCCTCTTTTAAGTACAGAAGCACAATAATAAGCCATAACACCAGCCCAAAAATCAATGAATTTTTTTATTTCAGATGTTTCTAATTTAGTTGCTATTGTTATGGCAAACTCATGGCTGGACTCTGACATTTTTAGGCCTTAAGGGAAAGTACAACTTCCATAGAAATTTCATGAATTAATTGGTCTTCCATATAGGAAGCAGAAAATTTTATATTTGTAGTTGTTTTTATGGCTTAACATAGTTGGTTTTTCCCTCTTTTACCCATCAGGTAAAGATGCTGCCGTGGAGCCAAAAAGTTTTAAAAAGGGCTTCTCCCATGATGTTAATTACTGCCAAAATGTGCGTCATCCTATGTCCGAGAGAAAAGAAAAAACTCTTTAACAGAGCAACAACATCTAGCCTCATCATGCATGAATAAGAAAAACAAAATTATATGAAAAGAGTACAGATGCTGGTAAGTGAAATAGACCTCATTTGTTGTGGTGTTTGTGAGACAGAGGCTAGCATGGTACCCAAAGAATCCAGCCAACAATAGAGAAACAATGGCGAGAAACACCATCAGAAGTAATTGAGTGTTGTACGAGCTCAACAGCCACTGTGAACACCAGAATCCAATAATGAAAACCAATAATGAAAGTGACAGATGTATAGCAGCAAACAAAATAAGGAATTCATGAAACCAACCTGTGCAACATGTGGAGCTAAACTACGGAATGAATTTTCAACGCCATAATAAACTGCTCAAACCAAAAGGAAACACCACAATTATACTTGTAAGAAATGAGTCATAAATTAGACCTCACTGCAACTTGACTTATTATTATTTTTTTTTCCTGCATGTCATTAACTGCAAGTGAATGTACCGGTTAGAATATAAACAACTTTCAATTCTTTCAATCTTCCGACAATAATCAATGCAAGTGCAGTTGCTCCATATGCACATAGAAGGAAATGCCTGCAAAACCACAGAAAAGTATTTGTCAGAAGAAAAGGCAATAATAACAACGAATAAAGTTAAGACCAAGAAGCAAATCAAATGCAGCCCCATGTAGTGAATGCCAAACAGCATTGCAACAGAATAATAAGAGAAAACACATAGCTCAAGCAGCGATCAAATCAGGTTTTTGCCACTAAAAAGTAAAACAAAAGTTTGAAGTTTCAACATCATTCCATGAAATTTAAGGAAAAAAATTATCACAAAAATTAAAGCAACAACAATTTTACAGAAATGCTGGCAACAGAACCTGGAAGCGCACTTATTTCTGTTACAAGTTCTGGTGAAGAAACAAGGAAACCAGTAACCAGTTGCGACAATTTCTAAAAACAAGTTTGACAATTTGACTCACTATAAAAAAATTAATACCAAGTTCAATTGTTGCAAACAGATACCACAAGAAACAAAATATCTTATAGATTCTCCACCCATAGGCCATAACTTCAAGTTACCACATGTGAAAGGCTTTTAGTTTTCTTAATTGTTTTCAGTTTCCAGAACAAAACCAACCCGGTATATTAATAGTTTCTCGTTTCTGTTCCTCTATTAAAAACGTTTGATGGTGATACCAAACAAACCCAAAATTCCAGTTTTATAAATTCACAGTGTTGCATCGCATATTACTATTTTCCAAATAACAGACCTTGCGGAGTATCCCTCTTCTTTTCCACAAATGGAGACTGCAAGGTCAAAGTCTAAGCCAGATTTAAACATCAAAAATTTAATATTATGGACCATCTATTAGATAACAGCTATAAAAATCAGTTTCTGGTCTTTTATCTTCCAAGAAAGAATATAGCCACCCATATAGATTATGAATATTCCATGCCAATAATCCTAAGGAACTTACCACAAGAGAAAAGCCAAGAAGTATCGGGTATTTCTCTCCCCTATACAATTATTCTGCAATGACAAACAACTTTAATCATATGGCCTATATAGAGAATGAGCACTTATAAAGAGTCAATAAAAAAACAATAACAAAGTCAAATAATCAACTAATAAAGTACGAACCATCCAACCACAATGATGGTCGAACCGGGCAACACACCGATCACATATGCTGCAGTGCTTGGACCTAGCTGGTCTGCATCAAAAGCAAAATTCCATTCTTAAGATTCTTAATAACAATATATATATATATATATATATATATATATATATATATAAGGGAACTTACAGGTGTTACGAAAAAATCAAAGAACTCACTTTGGGATTTTACAAGTAGAACATTCTTTCTCTGTATATATGATATTGTCATAAGGATATGCCAAGATATATTCTGAAACATTTCCAGCCTTGACAGTGCCAGGATCAGAAAAGCTAGCCACTAAAAAGAGTGCAATTCCAATACCAACTGCCAACAAGCTTGTGTATCTGCAAGAACATAGAATATTCAATCAAGTTTGCAATGCAATCACTCTAAAGGAATTGTTCTGCAGTATAAGAGTAACAACAATGACTTGGTACATACTTGTGAACTTCACCTAAGTAATACCCAGGAATGTAGCTAAAGGATGACTTTACAATATAATAATAAGTTCCCCCAATTATCGCCAAGTACATAATCTGCAATAAAAAACATAAAAATCTAAGTCTGATCTAAACTCTCAGCCATAAAAGAATGAGCAACCTTATCATACATCGATTAGCAGTATAATGTACAGTTTTCTTTAAAATAGCATATAAACGAAAAACATACAACAAATCACTTTTCTTTAAACTTTAACAGTGTGTAAATCGTAAACCATTCATGAAAAGGTTGATTTTATATTATTCCTCCTTACTTTTCTTACTCAAAACCATAAGTTTAAAACATAAATTGTTGCAGCAAAAACAAACCATCCTAGTTTGTCTGATGGGAACATCCAATTTAACCAATTGTTTTTCTACTCTCATTTCTCCATATTCCTCACTTTTTTCACTTACTTCAGTTTCATCTCAATTCTCATCCACAAACTTCTATCATATTTAGGACTCCTGAATTCACACACAACCTGATCATTCTACGATGCTTAGTTTCCGTCTGTAAGTGCCATTTTTGTTAAATTGAAACACTCAAACACCTATGTACATTATTTAAAAAATAACTATAAGCACCCATTAAACTGCTATGCTAAAACCAACAATTTATTCACTTCAAGGAATAGAAAACATTAAGAAAAAAGCAAAACAAAACTAACAATTTAGAAAAAGAAAATCACATAAAGTTGTGGGCTTTGAAAAAATTACCTGCAAAACAGGATTAGGCCGATCACAACAACAACGTTCAATAGAAAGCACCAAATTCCTCGCCTTATCACCAAACACGAACCCCACAAACCTCCTACAGCAAAACCAAAAACGACATCAGAAGCCCAAAAATCAAATAACAGAACAAATCAAAATTAAATAAAGAGAGAGAGTGTTTGCGTGTGGTGGGTTGTACAGGAAGTAATCGTAGGCGCCGTAAGTGATGAAGTAATGAAGACGTTCAATTGGGGTGCCTTGAAAGATTGGCCATTGGCCACAGAGGAAGGAGATTATGACTATTAAAGTGGCTAAGCTGTGACATATTAGCAGCCAAGGCACTGCCATTGTCGACAGAGAAGAGGGAGAGGGAGAGGGAGATTTTCTTGGATTTCTTGGAGGATTTTCGAGTGTTCTTGAATGTTTGACCTTTTCTAATTCTGAAATTTCAGAGAGGATGAAAACGCTGTGTTTTGGGGTTTGTTTGTCGTATCACGACTAACGGGTTTTCGAAGATAAAAAAAAATACTCCTAAATAATTAAAGGCAGATGTGGTAATTTCTTGTTGGTTTAAATTTATTGGATTCCTTAATATCATATGATTGGGACCAAAATTGACTATCTGTTAAGATGTAAGGATTTTCTTTTTATGTAATTCGATCTTTTCTCTGAAAGAATTATGAAATTACATTTATTTTATGTTTTTCTTTAATATTTTCAAAAATTAAATTATAGCTTATGAGTGAATGATATACTGTATTAATTTCAATAATAATAATGTTGTATTTCATTTACATAGAGAATTTAACAAAAACTCCTTTTTCAATTGGTATCTCAAAACTTTAGAAATTTCTAAATGTTATTTTTTTAAGGGATTATATTTGAATGCTTTGTTGCAATAAAAATAGACACTGTTTTTGAAGGAAATTTTATAGTCTATCATTTGTGGTTTAAAAAATTTGATGAGTTATATGGACTCATGGAAGGATACAATTGAAAATTTTAGAAACTTTGAAGACCTAATTAAAAACAAATTAAGATTAGATTGAGAATGACTGTACAAGTCTGTTTTTACTTTTCGAGTACTTTTCTTTTATTGAGGTAGAACAGGTAAGAGATGACTCAAAGCATCACCAAGGAGAGAGGTAGGCAGTGACCTTGTAGTAATCAGAAGTAAGCATTCTTTTTAGATCATCAACATCGTAGCACATATCATAGGTCAGCATGCCATTACAGCAACCTCAGACTTTAAACTTGATAGGATCCCTGTAATGATCTGTGAAGAAATGGCTTGTGTTCACTTTCAGTGAGCAGAAAATATTAACCAGTACGGTACGAATCCCTTTATGTGAAACCCAGCAAGATGAAATTTACAAGAGACGACAAAATTTGTTAGAAAAATTGTTGCAGGGATTGAATTTTTAGGAACCAACGGCTAAAACTAGATATCTGCATCCTCTATGCTATCTTCAATAATGCCGATGCAAGATCCTACAGATTTTCCCATTGTCATTGCCTCTGCAAGTTTTGCTCTGGCTCCTTCATGGCGACGCAAAATTAGGGCAGTGTTCAGTACAGACCATCTAACTTGAGAATCTGCTTTCTTTGGTGTAAAGCCTAAGCCCTTGAGTAACATATCCAACTGTGCAATAATCAAAAGAAAAGTTCGATAGGTAAAGTGAATATTTGCATACTCCTAAAAGTTCCGCATGATGAAACCTGTCATTACAGAACTTTGAAGACAATTGATCTGAGAACATGTTCAGACCTTGTTTATATCAGCAAGTCCACCCTCAGCGTATCCGAACAAAAGGTACTCAGTTGCTACACCCGCTAGTGCTATACAGGAGAATCTGTTCAGAGTCTAACAGAACATCCAAAGTTCACATATAAGAATAATTCTCGCATCCAAGGAGCTTAATCATTTCTACAGAAATATTCAATTTTGTATTTCACTCACGAGCAGCAAAATCTGAACTTAAGAAGACAACTACATACCGTAGCTGATACTTTTCCTGTATTGATCTGTATGGCATGGAAAGGGGAAGAATCAGCAGCAATAACAAGAATAAAGTAATTTCAAAATAATGTTCCTGCTGAAACCTAATCGATAAGACCTTGTAGTTGTAGTATCCAGCAATTTGCAAAGTGAAAATTTCTGTAGAACAATTGTCAGTAAACTCAATTTGTCAAAGCTTTCAAACTTCGCATAAATCCATATATCCTATATTGTTCAAGTAGACTACTACTTTGAGTCCATGCTTTCCAAAGGGTCCAAAATTCTGCTACTTAAAGGAACAAAGCAGGAACGAAAGAAGCAGGAATGAAGCAGTTAAGTATGTTTCATAACCCTAGATCCCTTACAAAATGCTTATCTAGTTGCTGGAGAGCTAAGGCAACAATAAAAATGCCATGAGCTGACAGTAAACAAGAAAATAATAAGAGCAACCCATCCACCATAGCTAAATAAAGTGAATAAATATACATTGTAATGGACGGTAGAGGAGACAGTTGAGATGCAGAGCAGTGAAAAATATCACAGAATAAATTCAAATCGCAAAAGACAACCTACTTCTTCAACAAACTCGAAATCCACAAAAGCAGTCCCTGCTTGAACATTGAGAGATCCATCCTTCTGTAAAGCTTCCAGGCTCGTGAGTGTATAACCTCTTGGAAGGATGCCCACCAAGTAGGCAATCAGGAAATGGCCAGCTTCATGCTGTAGGCAGAAAAAGGGGAAATTGGAAACCACTTACTTTGTGATATTAGAAACCACTTCCATTAACATGGATGCAGATGTCCATAGATACAGAAGACATGCAGTACTGATAAAGAATGTATACTATAAGCGATAGTATCTTCGGAGTTGGATCCATGTGAAAATGTTACACAACTTGATATAAGCAAGCAGCACAGATTTCAACATCATATATCTGTGTGGAATAATTTGAGAGAGAGGGGTCTTACTTGAATAACCCGATTGCGATACTTCTGACTGAAGGTGTGGCCAATTGTATCAAGAACCAAGCTGCCAACACCTCCATTAAAAGACACCTACACAAACCAATGGATGAGCACTAAAATAACATGAATACTCTTTTGCCGAAGATAAGTAATGGTGAAAATGATAGCACTATAGCAGTAATAGACAGTAGACTAGTGTGGTTCTTGTTTAAGTTCAGGAAGAGCATTCAAAATTTAAAACAAGAAGAAAGCAAGGAACCGATAACGACCACATAAAAGTGCAGGCGCACCTTTAGAGAGAGAGAATCAAATTGAATTTGGAAACAACCATGTCTTCAAAAGCTAGTGGACAAGAAATTAAATAGACCAGTTCATCACAATTATGATAAAATGGATGCAAGGAGGACCAAAACCAATGATTATGCATACATTGTTGTGGTGAAAATTCAGTATCCTGAGGATCCTGCAGTAATATAATAAGGAGATAGGTTCTGGAGACAATTTTAGATAAGCATGGGAAACTTACAGAGTCCAGTGTCCACAAAAACAACAACCCCAAAGAAAAAAATAGGATTTGTTGTGGGCTTAATCCAAATGCATTCCACGCCGCAAGCCCCCCAGCTACACCAGCAAGCTGCAGATTTCTTTCTATAGCACCAAGAGTTGAATCCTCAGGAGATAAAAGTGATCTTGTCTCTATTCCATTTAGCTTCAATTCATCTAATGTGTAAAGCCTTTTTGGTATCTGCACAGTTACTTTAGTCATTCAATGAAGCAAATTGTCCCTCAACACAGACAAACAAGACAGAGAGACAAAAGCACCAAAACTAGAAGTAAAAACAAAAGGGTGGGTAACTTTTTGGAGTGTCAAACCTGCCTTGCAGCACCAAAACATCTCAGCCCACCAGGCTTCCCTTGCAAATCTTTAACAAGAGAGAGTGCTGCTCTTTCATCTCCCTTACTTAGCTCCTTGTCCACTTGCTCCAAAACTTGCTGTCTTTGCACACCAACTGAAGAACCCACAATTGTTTTAAAGCAAAATCTCAATCTTGGAGAAAATAAACCTGTGTAATACACTACTGTGCCCATTCAAATCGAAATTTCAAAACCAATTTGAATAACACTAAATACAAACCTTTTTATACCTTTAAAATGCCCTGCTTTTCTTTGTCAACCACACAAACAGGATATAACACAATCACCATAGAACGACACCGTTTGACGCTTACTACTACTATATAATTACATGTCCCTTCTTTTTCTTGGAAACCAACCAGACTTGACTAGAAAAAGCCATAAAAGAAATGAGCTTTCCGGGTCAGCTCCTGATAGAGACTCCGGTGAACGGAGTTGTAGCTACTGTAAGAAGATAATTTCAATATAAGACGTCGTAATCTCTGAAAAGATTGGATCTTGAGCTCTCAAAAGGCAATTCCAAGTCAGGTCTCTCTCTCTTCAAGCAAATGCAAGGCAAGCCTGGTGGCCCCCGTCGATTTGGCGCTGCTAAGCAGGTCTCTATCTCTCTATTTTTTTAATGAAAGATTAGAATTTTTTTTCTTTGAAATGTTTGTTAAGTTAGATAAGGTTTTGGCTGGAAATTCAGTTATGTAAGTATTTGTTAATCAGTGATTACAATTGACAAAAGCAACAAATAAAGAATGTGCAATCAATTTTATATGGTTTATTTCGATTGTGTAAGTTTCTTTCTATACAATATTATCTTAATTTTATGGTTTGATATACTGCATTAGTTAATGATAGTATAGGTGCCTAAAAAGCTATCAGCATTGGATGAATTAGAGTTTGATGGGTTTGATATATCGCCTCTTCGACCATTCGTTGATTCGGTTCTGGACTCGATAGGAAGCTGCATTCAATTTGGTTTGCTGGATGAGTTATAACAATTTATGTTGCCAATTTTATGTTCATTTGTGTTTAGACCATTACTCGTTACTTTTTAGGTTATATTTTCTTCGTCCTAGATTAGATGTATTTAGTACTTGTCTAGATGTTAGATTTATTGGAATCTAATTTCAGGTGCCGTTTGATGCTAGCTTTGCTGGTTGCTTGTGAAGGATACACTGCAAAATTGCTGTTTCATGTCATCCCCACTTGGAGATTGACTCTTTAATTTCCAGCGATCCGTTGTATTCAATGTTTGCTCACCGGAGATGGCTTTTTTGGTCCTACTTGTTTTTCACAGGCTCGACTGAGAAACCTGAAAGTTTGATGCATGATGAAGGCAGGGAGTCTACCTGTGAAGAAGATCAGTTTCTGTGTAATGTAGTAAGACAAACTCTGTTTCCTTCTTTAGCACCTCTACCGTTGTCAAACATGTTTAGAAACTTTAAAATATTGGGAATATACAGCCGTAATGCATAATATGTTCATCAGTTGTCAGTAATATCTGTGATGCTCTAGAACAAGTTTTTATCTTGTGATTACAGGAGGGATTTTGTTGAACTTCCTATAAGTTAATCTAATGTAACCAAGTTATAAGATATGACTACTGCCAACGTCGGAGAGTGGTCGCCTACAAATTTGTAACTTGGACAAGGAGAGAAATGCTTATAAGGTATTTCCAGATCAATTCCCTCCAAGGAAAGACATTCTGAACTACGGTATGTTGGTATGTAACATCTAGCATACTCAAGTTATGATATTTCTATCTTTATAAATAACTATTTTAAACTCTTGCAGGGAAATAGAGGCAAAATTTCATCCAATGTGAAAACTCTTGCCTTTTGTTACAGTCTATTGTACAATCGTTATATGCTTTAATTACTTTCAATTAATAAGCTATTTGGTTTTTTTTTATTATTATTATTATTCCAAAGTATCTGCCAAACTGATGTGATTAGTTGATAGAATGGGTAAGCTACAGGGCCAACTAAATGAAGGTGTGTCTAAAACTTGTGTCAATAAGATTTACGAATCAGCTTGAGACTTTTAAGATGGATACATGACAATACGTGTAATGTGCAGATAAAAACAATTGAATACGCCCGTAAAATGGCTCAATTGACTTGGCTTTCGTTGAGTTTAATAGATGTGCTGTCCTCTTAACAGGTTATTTGTCTGGTGCAAAAATTTTCCTAATATGACACTCCGAATTTAATCTATGCTAAAGTTCAAGTTATTCTATTTTAATTGTGATTTTTGAAATGCAGTATTACCAACAAACTAACTCTGTGCATCGTTATCCATATTATACTTTTCTGATTGCATGGATTTCTTTCTTTCCTCCTGCAGACTCTGAACATGTTTACTTGTATGATACTAGGAGGATCGGTGGCAGAGAACCTGGTATTTGGATGCTCGTAATTCTGATGTTGAGAAGGTTAGGTTGGAATGTTGGATTCTTTAATGATACTGCAATGAGGCCCGAGTAACTATTGGTAACTAATGGCTATTTTCCAATTATGTTACAGCTGGATAGAGCACTGAAATGGTGGGGCTTCTCAGAAAGAGAAGCAAACTTTCAAATGAGATGGGCTACACTAAACGCTGCCTTTGTCTTGAGACTTGAATGGTCTTCTTGAAGCTAGATCAAGACTTAGAAAGGCTATGGCACAGGAGCAATCAGTTTGCTTCTGTATTTGATGCTATTCAGAATGCCATAGACGAAAAAGATATTTTAGGTAAAGCTGTCTCGATTCTGAGTCTTGCATTTGTACTTGCAAAAAAACATGTCTTCCATCTTCTAGGACGCAATTCTATTACCAAGAGAAGGGCAAAGCATTGGTCTCGATTATTATGACAGGAAAGATCACATACCTGGTGCCAATGTCGAACCCCTGTTACAAGCATCATCACTCATTCTGAACCGATGATCTTCTAGTTTCATTAAACAATTGGGATGGATGAGGTACCAGGAGCATATCTTCAAAAGGATTGACCAAACCATGTTATAAAAGTATAATCTGTCCGGGGGTCATAGGGCTTTCCCACAGCTCTAACGACTTTAAGGAACCAAAATGAGCATCACATTGGTCATGAGAGATTTCAAATTGAAGTAAATCTAGCATGATTATTGTCTCTCTCTCAAAAACTGGCAGCTCCCATTTGAAAATCTGAAAACAGATACTCCTACCAAACATGAGAGGAACTCCTGACCAAACAAAATCAAGCAGATTCATTTCTTCCCACTTCCCCACCTATCACTTTCTCTTCTAGAGAAGCCCAATCCTTCAATTTCCTCATCAAGCAGACAACAACCCATCCTTATCTTAATAAGAAGACAAACTTTATCTCAAGCAACATTATCCCACCAACCACTAGGCATAACAAAAGTATTTAAGAGGACAAAAGAGCAAAAAATAAGGAACTAGGCATTTGATTAAAAAAAAAAAAAAACTTCCATTAGATAGATTCCCGAGAGCATCACTTTTTTTCCGAAAACATACATTAAAACTCCCATGTAGCCAGTTCAAAAAAACCAAGACATCAAAAAGAATATATTACAGACTGTAGAAGCCCTAAAACCCCCCAAAAATATATCTTAAGGCCTAAAACTCCTGAGAAGCAGATCCAATGTCACCCTTTCCTTTACCCATCTTCTTAGGAAGCAGTGTCTGGTGAATGTTAGGCAAGACACCTCCATTTGCAATTGTAACTGACCCCAATAGCTTGCTCAATTCCTCGTCATTTCTCACTGCAAGCTGGATGTGCCTTGGCACTATACGATTCTTCTTATTGTCTCTTGCTGCATTCCCAGCTAGCTCAAGCACCTAAACAAAACCAAACACCCATTTCAGTAAATTTACTAGATATCAAATTCATCGAAAAATCAACATAATATGACACCCTTTCGAGTGGACTCCAATTCAAAAATAGAATTGATCATTTAGAGTAGAATATGAAGTGATATTGTCTGAAGTAAGGATCTTACTTTGAACAAGAAAAATACAAACCCAAACGAATTACAGGGGAAAAAATTGCAAATTAAACAAATGATAACACAAACATGACATAGACACCAAATTAAACCAACAAAATCAAGACTTTCGGATAAAGTAAAATAAACTCAAATTTTAAAGAATATATTTTACTTTAAAAATTGATTTCAAAGCCAAAAAAAAAAAATGACCTAAGACAGGGAGATAAAAATCAGGAACCAAAAGGCAAAGAATCGGACCTCAGCAGCGAGATACTCAAGGACAGCAGAGAGATAAACGGGAGCTCCAGCACCAACACGTTCAGCATATTTACCAGACTTCAAGAACCTAGCAATCCTCCCTACTGGGAATTGCAACCCTGCTTTCTGCGATCTCGAAACAGACTTAGATGCCTTTGGTTTCCCCCTTCCTCCCTTAGTAGTTGCGCCTCCTTCTTTAGAACTCATCTTCAAATGATTACACACAAAAAAAACCTATAAAACCCTAATTTTTGCCTTAGAGAGTGAAGAGGAGTCACGCGAGAAATAATTGATTTTTTAGGCAGTAGTGGCGTTTGTTTATATAGGGAGAACAGGTGTGATCTGATTGGTTGATTTGGGTTTGCTGGGATCGATGACGTGGCTCATGTTTTGGCTTTCCCGGCGCGAAATGGAATTTTTTGGTTCCGTTTTCCGCCTTCTTTTATCTTTCCCCCGTTTTAAATTGCTTTAGAGCGTGGTTGTCGAAATCTGAAACAAAAAGCCCATCATGGAACTATGTGGAAACTTCGATCCAAAATAACAGACTGAAAAAAAAAATGTTATTTAGAGGCATGTTTCAACTTTGCTTTTTTGGGCCTATATTGTTTAGACACTGAAGAAGTCCTTTGCTAGTTTAGACATGGAAGGATTTATCAATTTATTTAAGTCTTCACATTTTCCTATCCTTTCATATAGCAAATGTCGTTTTAGATTAACTTAGTTCTATTCGTATTTCCTTTTCTAATATTGTAAAATAATTGCTTAGAACAAGTTTCTTCTAACTTCACAAATCTCATTGGGACAATTGGCAAAAGAAAAAAAAACAAAAACTATCTGCCATGCAATTACTTGAAAAAAATGATAGAAACTATTTGTATCAAATTTTAGTTAAGGTTTTTTTTATATATATTTACAAATAGTAAAGTATTTTTTATTCAATTTTTGCATCAATCGAAATTAAATCTATTAATTTTTTAATTAATTTGATACCAAAATATCCTTAATTTTTGATCAATTTTAAAATCTAAATTCTTTAAATCCATAGCAATTAGTGTTTGATGCCACACAAATGAGAAATTAAGATATCTAAATTTAAAAAAAATAAGAAATCCACAATACTATAAAATATAGACAACAAATGAATTAAAATTAACATTTCCCGATAACCATATATTTTCAATAATTAATGGGAGTCCCTTTTCTTTGTTGTTGGGATGCTGTGCTATTTTCAGTCTAGTTTCTTGGGCTAGGTAGCCCATTGCTGTCCGGAACCTTGAATGGATTCCTTCCTAAACTGTGGTAGCGTATACAATTTGGAGCTGCATGCATATTCCAGAATTCTTACTAAAAAGCCCATGAAAGAATGTCTATTACCAGTTTCCTTCTTGTCAACAAAGCTAACATTATTTCTTTAGTGATGCTTGCAATGTTCAGTGAATTTGAATAATAACCATCCAAACGTGGGTTATTTGCCAATTAAGATCATTATACATTGAAATTGATGAATACAAACTCCAATTTTGCAGCAGAAAAGGGGAGGATATGAAGCACCAAGAATGTTTAACTTCATTAGATGATTCCGAACACTTGAATTTTAAACCAAAGATACAAACCGTCCCATTTACTCAGTGCTAGAAAAACATAAGGAAAAAAAAAAGGAATGTATATTACAATCTATAGCCCATCCTAATCGCTTGTCTAGAACTCCTGAGAAGCAGATCCAATATCACCCTTCCCTTTGCCAGCCTTCTTAGGAAGCAGAGTCTGATGAATCTTAGGCAAAACACCTCCATTTGCAATTGTAACTGACCCCAACAGCTTTCCTAACTCCTCATCGTTTCTCACTGCAAGCTGGATGTGCCTTGGTATAATCCGGTTCTTCTTGTTATCTCTTGCAGCATTTCCAGCCAGCTCAAGAACCTGAAAACCCCAGAAAGATAGATCAGAAGCCATAAACAACAACAAAATTTGAGACCCAGTTTAAAAAATTAAAGAAATCGGACCTCAGCAGCAAGGTATTCAAGGACAGCAGAGAGATAGACAGGAGATCCAGCACCAAGACGTTCAGCATACTTTCCAGTTTTCAAAAACCTTGCAATCCTTCCCACCGGAAACTGCAAACCTGCCTTCTGGGACCTTGACACCGACTTGGATGACTTCGGCTTTCCTCTCCCTCCTTTGGTAGATAATACTGCTGATCCTTCTTTTGAACTCATTTTCACGCAGAAAACAGAGAGAATTTCACAAACCGGATGGTTTTTGTTTATCTGAGAGCGGAATGAAGGAGAGATGGATTTGTGTGATATGGGATTTGGTGATGAGGTTTTGTTTATATAGGAAGAGGAGGTGTGATTTCATTGGTGGATTTCGGTTTGCGAGGATCGATGACGTGGCTGGGTATATTTTAACTGCGCGGCGGGAAATGGCTTCGTTTTATGTTTGAAAAGTTTGAATTTTGTTTTTTCGTGGCTTAATGACTGGGAGTGTAATTTTGACAATGTTTTGGGGAATTGTGGGATTATATAAAGATTAATTTAGCAGCCTAAACTCTCTTTTTTTTTTAATACTTTATGTGTTTGGCAGGATGAATGGATAATTAAAAGATTAATTCAAGGATTTGAATGAAAATTCTTATTCATGGTTACGGTTTTTTACCCTGTACTTCAAATTAACATTGTTACATATTTTTATTATGGTATCCATCAAGTAGGAATTTTAGTGTGCTTATATCAGTAATATGGAATAAAAAGGTCTGTATTTTCTTAATTATTTGTAGTTTTTTTAATTAATTCATTATTTATCCATATTTAAACTATTACGCTAATAAAAAAAAATGTCTTGTTTACTCTTCAACTCTTTATTGTTTATCGTTTGGCATCTAAGATTTATTTTTAAAGGCAGATGCATGCTAACAAATTTCATATAGGTAGAATATTTGGTGTAAGTACAGTTCAAATCATAATGTAACATACTTAGTTGGTCATTGTTCAATGCTTGATTGGCCCAGCCACTTTTACTTCTAGAGTATTTCAATTTTTTTCACCTTTCAAAAACAACATGGTCAATTCAATTTGTTTTGGATAACTAGTTGGGGATTTCGAAAATTATTAACATTCTTATGAAGGATTTATATATACATTTTTCTATTAATCTACTAATTTTATCATCCATCTTCCACATCAATTATAATGCTAAATTTACTCAATCATTTTGTGTTTTGCCGTTTCATTCCTTGTGGTTGTGATAATTGTTAAAAAAAATAATTTAATGGTATAAATTACCTTCAAACTGTTGGATTGTGAAAATTTAAGACATATGTTGCTAATTTGAGCTATTGAAAACCCAAATTATCAGTTTTTAGGCAAATATTATCATTCCTTGTTATATTTAATAATGAAAATATTGATCGTTAACTGAAATATAATTTAATAATGAATTTTTTACGCTCGAAACTACTAGAGTTGTAGCCAAATAAGACCGATACCATCAATTTGAATTATTTAGATCCTAAATTTTTAGTTTTTAGGCAATGTTATCTCTTTTTATTATATTATGACACTCAAAATGTTGCTCGTTGTACTTTTAGAATTAAAATTATTTTCAATTTTGTTTCAATAGTAGTTATTTTTAAGGCAATTTAGAGGATTTTTTTTCTTTATGACTTTAACTTTGTTTTCTGATATTTAATGATATGTAATGAATCCATCGAGTAAAAAAAATTGAATTATTTTTTTAAGAATTAAAATAAATTTTAAAGAAAAATATTTAATAATACTTAGCTTTAAGATAGCTTAGATGATTTTTTTTTTTTTGTCTATCAGTCTTACTTTTATTTTTAAACAATTGATGATGTGAAATGGATCCATCCAATTAAAAAAAAAAAATTTTTGAATTATTAATTTTTTTGGAATTAATTTTAATTATAAAAAAATATAAAATACTTAAAACGACATTGGTTTAAATATTTCAGTTAATAATTAATATTTTAATTATCGTAAATAATAGAAAACAAAATTGTTAAAAATTAATAGTTTAAGGTTAAAATAACCTAAATTGACAGTATAGATTTTATTTTGCTATAACTCCAATAGTTTATGAGTAATTTTTGTTATTTAAACCATATTCCAACTAACGGTCAACGCGACCATTGGACATAATGGATAAAGAATATTTGTCTAAAAAACAACAGTTTTGAGTCCAAATAGTTCAAATTGGTAGTATGAATTTTAAATCGTCATAGTCCAATAAATCTGGGAGTAATTTTTGCCATTAACCCATAAGAATATATTTCAAGTATCATTTGGGGGAAAAAAAGAAGAAGAATAAGGTAGATGTAATTCGAATTGTACTTGTAGTTTGAGTAAGAAATGCAAAATACAAATAAAAAATTATTTGCCAAATAAAATATACGTGGCTATTCGATTTCATGCTTTCTCTTTTTTTAAAAAAGATTTTGAGAGTCTACTGCGTTTTTTTTTTTTAGCTACCGCAAAAAGAGGTAGTATTTTTCCTTATTTTTTGAATTTTTTATTGTTATCCCTATATTGACGCTTTATGCCTTTAGATTTGAATTTTTATTTTTTTTGGCAACATCTAATTTATCTGATTTTTTTATTAATCCTCTTGTGTATCTTCTTTAGAATTTATGAATTTTTTTTGTTTTTTCTTGCTCCTATGAAGTTTTTAATAGAGGTACATTCTATAGAGGTACATTCTATGAATCGAATGATTACTAATTATTAAAAAAACTAAAATAAAACCATGTTTTACTATTTATATCATTATTTGAAATACTATTCATACATTTACAAATCACAATTCACACACTCACAAACTACCATTTATGTCACTTTTGTAACACTTTGGTCCTCAATGTTTTTATATTTTTTTTTCCAATTTCAAACTTTGATTATAATGTGATTTGGTCCCATTTTGTTTTAGTTTTTTTAATTATTTTTATTATTTAAAATTTAATACTTTAATTTGTACTTTTTTTAAACTCTTTTTTTTTCAATTTCAAACTTTAATTTATTAATTATTTTTATTATTTAAAATTTACTACTTTAATTTGTCTTTTTAAAAAAAAAATCTTTTCTTTTTCAATTTCAAACTTTAATTATATTGTAATTTGATCCATTTTTTAGTATTTTTTGTTAATTATTTTTATTATTTAAAATTTACTACTTTAATTTGTCATTGTTTTTCAAATTCTCATCCAATTACTAAAAAAACTAAAGCAAAATCATGTTTTACTATTCATATCACTATTTGAAACACTATTTACACACTCATAAATCACTATTCCTTTCACTATTCAAGTCACTTTTGTAAACCTTTGGTCCTCAATTTTTTTATATATTTTTTTCAATTTCAAACTTTAATTGTATTGTGATTTGCTCCCATTTTATTTTTTTAATTATTTTTATTATTTAAAATTCAATACTTTAATTTGTCCTTTTTTAAAACTCTTTTTTTTTCAATTTCAAACTTTAATTGGTTAATTATTTTTATTATTTAAAATTTACTACTTTAATTTGTCTTTTTTTTTAAACTCTCTTTTCTTTTTCAATTTCAAACTTTAATTATATTATAATTTGATCATTTTTTTTAGTATTTTTTGTTAATTATTTTTATTATTTAAAATTTACTGCTTTAATTTTTCATTTTTTTTCAAATTTTCATCCAATTACTAAAAAAACTAAAGTAAAATAATGTTTTATTATTCATATCACTATTTGAAACACCATTCATATACTCACAAATCACTATTCCTTTCACTATTCTTATCACTTTTGCAACACTTTGGTCCTCCATTTTTTTATATATTTTTTTCAATTTAAAACTTTAATTTTATTGTGATCTGATCCTATTTTGTTTTAGTTTTTTTTAATTATTTTTACTATTTTAAATTTACTACTTTAATTTGTCCTTTTTTAAAACTCTTTTTTCAATTTCAAACTTTAATTTGTTAATTTTTTTTATTATTTAAAATTTACAACTTTAATTTGTCTTTTTTTTAATTTTTTTTCTTTTTCAATTTCAAATTTTAATTATATTGTAATTTGATCCTATCTTGTTTTAGTATTTTTTGTTAATTATTTTTATTATTTAAAATTTACTACTTTAATTTTTCATCCTTTTAAATTCTCATCCAATTAATTTAAAATTATATTTACTAATATTTTTGATTTATTTTTTTATATGTATGGATTTTGAAATAAATTTTTAGAACATGATTATTTTTTCTTTTGAAAAATAGATTTAGATAATTTTTAAATTATAGTGGCATGATTAATATATATAATTTTTTTAAAATATATTTTTACATGAAAAAATGTATTTCAAATAATTTTTTCTTTATTTTTTTATGTTTTAAAATTTACTACTTTAATTTGTTATTTTTTTTAATTTCATACTTTAATTATATTGTGATTTTTTTCATTTTTTTTTGATTATTTTTATTATTTAAAATTTACAACTTTAATTTGTATTTTTTTTCAAATTCTCACCCAATTAATTTAAAATTATATATACTTATAATTTTGATTTATTTTTTTTATGTATGGATTTTGGAATAAATTCTTAGAACATGATTTTTTTTTCTTTTGAATTATAGATTTAGATAATTTTTAAATTATAGTGGCATGATTAATATATATAATTTTATCTAAAATACATTTTTAGATTAAAAGTGTACTTCAAATATTTTTTTCTTGATTTTTTTATATTATTTAAATTTTACTACATTAATTTTTTATTTTCTTTTTTAATTTCAAACTTTGATTATATTGTGATTTGGTCTCATTTTGTTTTAGTGTTTTCTCGTTAATTATTTTTACTATTTAAAATTTACTAATTTAATTTTTCATCTTTTTAAATTCTCATCCGATTAATTTAAAATTATGTTTACCGACACTTTTGATTTATTTTTCTATATGTATGGATTTTGAAATAAATTTTTAGAATATGATTATTTTTTCTTTTGAAAAATAGATTTAGATAATTTTTAAATTATAGTAGCATGAGTAATAAATATAATTTTTTTAAATACATTTTTACATGAAAAATGTATTTTAAATAATGTTTTCTCTATATTTTTATATTTTTTAAAATTTACTACGTTAATTTGTCATTTTTTTAATTTCATACTTTAATTATATTGTGATTTTGTCCTTTTTTTGTTGATTATTTTTATTATTTAAAATTTACTACTTTA